GGGCATCTTCCAATGAGTTTCCTTCGATTGTTTGTAAACTGCTGATGCAGTCTGGCCAAAGTCCCCCATACAGTGTTGTGATGCGCATTTGATCATATCCACATGTTAATTTGCACAATATAAATATTAAATTATTATTATTATTATTATTATTATTATTATTTCTTAATTGTCAAATCTCTCCTTGTACCTGTAAGCTTGTTGCAGTATCAGAGGTTCTGAAAGATGAAGAGAAACGAAAAAGGTAAGTACCACAGAGGAGATATAAATTATATATCTTATTAACCAAGCGCGAGGGCTGTACTGGGAGAATATTGGCCCGAGGTCTTGACAGTACGGACCGAGCACAGCGGGGTCTGTACAAAAAAGACCGAGGGCCAATATTCTTCCAGTACGGTCCCGAGCAAGCTTGGTTAATAAGAGATTTATTATACGACTGAAGTTCAAAGGGTCACAAGTGCGGTATCATTCGGGACCATTCAGGACAGTGGCCGGTCCAATACTGAGAGAATATTGACCGGCAATAGAGCATTTTGATTGGTTGATTTTAGTTATTGGCCCTCTGACTGTCCGAGTCGTGTAATAAGTATTTTGATAGTACTGTGGAGCAAACTTTATAATATTGGACAAGAGCATGTGATTTGTGGACACCATTTGGTTTTTGTTTTATGGAACTTTCATGTTTTACATATAGACTTAACATTGGCCAAGCTCATCACAGAATTCTCTGCAGCTTACAGCGTAAATGATCTTAAGGTCCATGGTTCAATTTCTTTAAAAGACTCAGTTTTTTGTTGTTGTTGTTGTTTTAGTTCCACACTCATGACTAGATAAATGACATCTCTCTTTATTCACTCTTCATGATGTTTTCAATAGATATGATGGCATTCTTCGTGATGGCCTGCCTGACTGGCGACAGCCTGTATTTTACTACCGGAGTGTGCGCAAAATGGGACTCATAGAGTTCACAATCCTTCTCTTTTTGATATTAACCATTGGACACTATATCGTGGCTTGGTCTATTTATTTGGAGAAAAAACTTGAACTGGTATGTTTTGGTCGGGGACTTGTCATCTTTCTCATACACCCTAACATCATTATGCATATTCTCCATACTGGTTTTTTATACATAATTCAATCAAAACAGGTGCACAAATTTATGAATTCTAAAATTTTTCTTTCCTATTCGTTGCTCTACAGGAAGAACTCTTGTTTTCCAAGAAAAAACGAGAGGACAAGAAACGGAACAAAAAGCTCAAATCCAAATTGAATGATGAAGACATTCCTGATCTCGCAGACATGATGGGTGAGTCTTGTTGATTTTTTTTATCTGGTGGCTTTGTTTTCGCACTTTAAAATAAAAAAAAAAACAACTAGATTTTGAATTTAAAGCAACCCTGAATACCGTTAAGTTCATAAGGTAAGGATGCCCTGAAGTAGGGTAAAATGTTTACTGTTTCCGGATATTTGCCTTTCTATGAACGCAACAACACTTATAAGGTAAGCGTCTGCACTCGTGTCCAGTGTCTCACAAGGAGCCGGAGCTTGATGGCATAAAGCTAATGGGGCTATAGACCACTTTCATAAATGGCTGCCAGATTAATATTCTTTTGTTAAATTTAAATTAGCCCTTCTGGCCTCGTTCTCCAGTACAAAATTCAAAAGAATACGTTATCTCAAGCGAGGCCAGAAGGGCTAATTTAAATTTAAACAAAAGAATATTAATCCGGCAGCCATTTATGAAAGTGGTCTATTGCTACCTTTCCTGAGAGAGTCATGGTCTATCGTTGGTTCCCCCACCCCCCTCCCTCAGAAGTTTTCGTCATTTCGAGTTGAAATTCACGGTTGCTGATTTTGCCTTTGACCAAAAAATTGATCGTCAAATCCGGCATTTTGATAGGGCATATGGACACAATTTTGGCCTGGGGAGGGGGGAAAGGGGATAATTTGAACGAACTAAACTTTAAAGTTTAAATGCCCGGGGGTTTGCCCGTAGGGGAGGGTGTTGAAGCTTTGAATGGATCGACACATTACATCATTAAATCGTGAGTCAAACCATATTACTTCATTATAAAGTGTTCCTGTTGTTTCAGTACAAGAGGTTGGTGTGTTAAAACCCACAATGTGGGATCTGCTGCCATTTAAAATGACGCTCTGGCTGATTGAGTTCTTTAAATCACTGCCTGAGCAATATCAGGCTCTGGTGGAATACTTGGAAGAAAGAAGGAAGCAAAAAGTTGAGGAAGAAGAGGATGAAGATGACGATGATGATGAATTGGAAGGTGAGTTTGTGGGTTTTTTTTTCTCATGGTTAGTGGTATTTCAAGTCACCACCTGCAGCCCTGTGTTTGACTAATTGTTTTCCTTACATTTTAAATCCGCAAATTTAAATCGATGTTGCTGTAAATCACCACCAAAAGTTCAGAATTGTCTTTAAGAGGACAGCTCCCTAAAGGTACAAAAGGCGCAATGTGAGTGCACTGTGAACTTGCCCTCTTTTCCAGACGCTGTGGTTTTGTTTTACGAAACGCAGTCGTAGAGCGCTCGACAATCGTCAATAGGAGACAGGCTGTGATCTTTCCTTTTACTGTTTGTTTTTTCTCTTTTGTTGTATTGTTTTCTTGCTTTTAGCTGCTGCTTTTCTGGTTGGTGTTTGCTGTTGTTTGTGTTGTTGTTGTTGTTGTTGTTGTTGTTTTTTTGCGCAATTGAAACGCTGTTTTCTGGCTAACGTGCGAACGCTATGTTGACCTATTTGTTGTTAGGTTTGTAAGTAGCCGGCACTACTGTCCTGGTTTTGAAGTTTGATGAACGACGTCACCCTAAAAGAGCTTTTGATATTTTTTTTGTATAATACAATTTCGCAGAAAAACCATCAAGACCACGAAGAAGGCAGAGAGTAAATATACCGCAGGAAGATACAGAAGACACCAGCTGGGAGGGAGCTCCTGTTACGAATTTGATGAAAATGTCCACAGATAACAGCGAGCAATCTACTGTAACAGAGAAGGTATTGGATGTGGCGATCTGCAGATTCAACAACATTGTTAGGGCGACACAGCGGTCAAACGTTGGGCATGCGCGAGGGGATTAATTCTAGCCAGCCGCCAATTTCCCGCGCAGAATTTCAAAGTAAAGCATAAGAAACAACCGCTGTCTCGCAAAATAAGCGAAAAATTGAAACGTTTTTAGAAATCTGTAAAAGGAAACAAAAGTAGGGTAAAGGTTTAAAATGTTATACACTTTTAAAACACCAACTGCTTGTGTGGATGTTTACAACTCTTGTGAGAAAACTTGGTTCTAGCATTTTGAAAGCACGCTATTAAACCCTCCGCTCATGCGCCGACGTTTGACCGCTGTGTTTGTTAGGGCTTACAGTTTAGTTTTGTTTTAGAAATCTTACCCCTCGAGATTTTATGACGTATTTTTGGTCATTTTGGAGTTCAGAACAATAAACGCACATGAAAAAGATGTACAATGTAGACATTCCAGTCAGAGCTTGTGTGTTTATTATAGCACGAGAGAGAGATTGTTAGTTTTTCGTATCCTACCGTCAATCAAGCTAACAGTTAAAGCTTAGTACGTGTCGTTTTTAACTGCTTTTTGCAGCTTACGCGAGACAATCAACCTTTTTTACCCTTCAGAGTGACTAACGTCATATTTCTAAGTATAGGAGAATGAAGGAAGTGATCACTGATTAAAGAAGCTCTTGATTGTTAAACAAATTCTCCTTGTCAGCACCTTCGAAATGCATAGAGAACAGTATGGAGAATATACATACTTATGTTAGTTTGTGAAGGGTTCTGTTAAACCGTCTCATTATTGTATGTGAATAGTGCACCCGAAATCACTCTGACATCCGACGCCCAGAAGTTTTTAGTCTTTTTAAAGGAGATTTTAAGCTTCGGAACCCATATGAATGTCGTCTCCACAAGAAAGAATACATGAACTTGTGGCACTGCGCTGTTTGAGAATCTTAAGCTAAACCAAACCTGTCGAAAACTGTCTTGAAACAAACTGAAATTTCGGTCACGACCGCCTTCGTGTAAAACGAAACAAGCAGTCCAACTGGTCTTTTAACCATTTCAGTCAGGTGAATGGACAGATCAGGAGCAGTCCCTCTTAACCCGTGCCATGGTAAAATTTCCCGGGGGGACACCAAACCGCTGGGAGAAAATTGCTGTTGAGATTGGGAGATCAGTTGAAGAGGTAAGGAATTGTTTGAAGCTGCATCAACTCGGCGGTGTGTTTGCTAGATATGGTTTTCCTTTCTCTTTTTTTTTTTTTTTTCTATTGTTTTTTAAACATCAGTTCGTTTAAGAGAAGGATGGTCATTTCACAGATTTTTTTCTCTTTGCATGCTTAAATATTTATTCTAGCTAGAAGTATAGAGCAGTTTTAAATTGAGTGTCGGAAAACCAAAAACAAAGCAATCACAACAACCAATCAGGACAAAGGTTGACATCATCATTAACCAATGAGTTCTCAAAATAGAAACAGGCAACCTGCTTGAAGCGCGGGAAAACACGAATGACCAATCGCAAGTTGGTATTGGGTTTAGTTTTGCATTTGATTGGATGAGACCGCAGAGCGAATCACAGAACGAACTAAAGCAAAACCAAAAAAAAAAAAACTGCGCAACGGCAACCTTCGATTACGGTTACGAGGCACTGTTCTCTCGGCTTGGGTCCAAATACATCGGATGTGGTCTGGTAATGAAGGTTCCCGAAGGACGCTTGAGCCAGTCGGAAGATTGTTGTCAAAATATCAACTTCGTTTGAGGTGGCAATGTTCTGATGACGAAAGACTTGTCAGATTGGTAGCAGTATATTATAAAGCTTTACATTTTGTCAATCTGTTGGTGCTGCAGGTTACAAAACAAATGAAAAAGTTAAAGCAATCCTATGGAGCTCCCATTCATTCATCAAACGCAGGTAGAAGAAATGGTTAACCGAAATTGTTTATGTCACTTGTTATCGAAGTACTTGTATTTTTTTTTTTTTTTTGTACTATCATTATTATTTTGTTGTTGTTTTGGTCTTTCATTACACATTCTATTTATCTATCTCGTTTTGGATAAGGTTCTATTGTTTTATGATACGGAGTTTATATTTTTGTTTTATCAGTCAATCATTTTTCCTTCTCGTCTGTTTCGTGTTTTCGTGTTTTTTCGTGTTTCGTGTTTTCTGTTTTTCGTGTTTTAGTGCGTTTGTCAGAAAATGAGCCATTTGAATTAAAAACAAAGTTATTTTGCATTTTCTGACAAGGATCAACATACCTAATGATCGCACCACGTTGTTTTCTGAGCCTAACCAATGGAAGTCACTTACTGTTTCTAATTCATTTATTTGTGAGTTTTTTTTTTTTCTCTTGCTTCTTTTTTTAAGGCGAAGGTGACTTAAATAGGTTAATCATAAATAAGAAAAAGGCAATAGTAAGCGATGAATGCTTGGAGCAAACTGACGAATGCTACAACTTTGGAAGCAACTCGAATCATCACCGCAACAAATCATCGAGAAGTCAACAGGCGACAAAGAATGCTGCCGATCGGCCCGTAAGCCAAGTATCCGTACCGTCCGTGGTGCGTGACAGGACTTCGGAGCAATCGGATAGCGTCACTAAGAAAAACGTGACAGATGATGATAGTACTGTTTGGAGTCAAAATCAGCAGAAACAGTTAGAGATTGCGTTGCAACAGTTTCCGAAGACTGTGGCAGAAAGATGGACTTGTATTGCTCAGGCAGTGCCTGGTAAGACTAAGGTGAGACTGTAGAACTTAAGGCTCTTTTTAACCTTTGTTCTTAGGCCATCGTAGCTTGATTAAGAAAATAAGAGAAACAACGGTGATAAACATTGTATTCCAAAGCATTTTATATAGGTTCCAGACCTCTTACATTCACTATATATAGTTTTCAACAATTGTAACGGTTCACTTTTGAAAATGTATGTTGACTAGCATACGAAACGTCAAGTTCTATTTAAAATGCATTGGAATACAATGTTTAACATCGCTGTTTCTTTTATTTTCTTTTCAACTTCAAACGTTTTTTTCATTAAGATGGTATCGCAATCGAGAGTCTAAAAAACCAAAATTAATGCATTTACAACGGCAAAGGTGGACGTCGTCATATCCGTCAAAGCCAAACAAAACTCAAAGCATCTACTTTATTGGGAGAGTGGTGTGAGGTTTTATGACCGATCAAAAAGCGAATTAAAGAAAAATCATGGATGAGTAAAGGAGAGCTTTGCCGGGTTCTAGCACTAATAACGTCCTGTAATCAAATACTACATCATTACGAGAGTTGTCGTTGTATTCAAAGAGTGCCGACAACATACTGTATTTCCTAAATTAAACTCTAAATTAAATAAATTAAAATTATGGTTTTTGAGGAGAGGGGAAAACCGCAGTAGCCGGAGAAAAACCTCTCGGAACAGAGTAGAGAACCAACAAACTCAATCCACTTATGACGCCGGGTCTGGGAATCGAACCCAGGACACATTGGTGGAAGGCGAGCGCTCTTACCACTACGCCAACCCTGCTCCCCGAATAAGCGCCCACACTCTAATAAGTCCCCTTACTCGAATAAGCTACCATTCCCTGGGAAGACACTTCAAACAAGCCCCCCCTCCTCGAATAAGCACTCCCCATTCCTCCCTCACTTCCGTGAATAGGGGGATATAAGGAAAACCTGTTTCTATTGCTGCTTCATTTATAACGTTTTCAGCTCCAACTACAGCTGAATACATACAGGCTAATAATTTGTATTTCTAATTTATTTTGTTGCAGGAGGAATGTATTTTGCGGTACAAATTTCTCGTGGAATGCGTTCGGAAGAAAAAGCTAGCCGGGCAGCAACAATAAATGGAAATAACTCCCTTATCTTGTGAAATTATTATTTTTCCATTAACTTATCATATGTAAAGGGAATTCAATAAAATATATCACTATTAAATCAGGAAATGAAATTATAGCCATTGAAACATCGTATTTCTTCTGCCGCGTTATGTAGGATAAATTTTATTGTGAAGCGCAAGTCTCTTGGTTGTTCTTTTGGATGTCACGCGATGCTCTCTTTGCGTGACATGGCAAAGAATTGCCTCTTACATCCTGATGAGGCTGTGATTACCCTAATTCTTTTTCTTTTTTTGACAAAACAGAACAGTTGTGTTACTAAATGATAAAGAAAATGATAGAATTTAAGATTGATGTTAAAAATAGCGCTTTTGTGTGTGCTTCAACAGTCGTACTCTTATAGTAATCCAACAAATATTTTCGCTCGCGCGCGATTGGTCAACATGCATCACCGAATATCCCCCAACTAATATTTGGAAAAGTCCGCGGATATACCCCGAGTGATATTTCCCAATTTTCAAACCCTACGGCCAATAGGGAAAACTCCGCGCTTAAAATTGAATTCAAGACGAGAAAAGTTGTGTGCATGGTTGTTACAAAAGAAAGAACATGGTTTTTCGTTCATAAAATCGTATCAGAGTATACTGAAAAGTGAACATCTCACTCCGTAAACGGTAAGCTGTTCGTAAACATTTTTTTACTTTTTTTCACTCTTTAAATTTTTTTATTTTTTTGACACGTGCGACGGACTTAGTCGACAAGCAGGGACTGCTCTTCCTTGAGATACCTAACGTGTCCCATTCATTTTTTATATCAACACGAACTCGGACCACTGCTTAAAATAGTCGAGACTAATTTGCACTTCCTCAAGAGGAATTAACAGTGATTTACAGGTAATCCATCCTGAGAACGTCCAGTAGTTTTTGGATAATAAATTATTTTGGCTGGAACTAAGTTAAATCCAATTAGAGTTTAAAAGCTTTACTTAGGTTTTTATAACGAAGACCGCATGCGATGTGGGGAGTATAGCAGCAAATGCAGGTGGTCCAGCTGAAACGGTGGTGAAGAGAAGGTGGGATCTGTTGATTGGGAGGAGGGGGGCGTATGGAGGGATCCCCGCAGTTACCACTTCCCTCCCCCCTCCCCCTTCCTCACTCATCCACTCATGGTTACACAGTTCCGACAGAAGATCTCGACATGAATATAAGTTGGATTGATTTCACGAGGGAAATCATTTAAGTAAACTTGGCGCACAAAAACTGCTTTCTACTAAGGTGGTTATTATTTGAATTTTTTTTTCTTTTAATCCTATTGCTCCTCACATAACACAGGACATGTAAAAATCCTCGAACAGACAACATCTCGATCCAGCATTGGATGATTCGAGCCATTCAGGTCTATTCGTCCTCTAATTTCTTTTTGTAAGAGGGTCAGTTTATTTGGCTGGTATGTCTGGTTTCAAACCACCACACCCTACAGCCAACCTCTTCAACGATAACCGTCTCTGTCCTCAAGACATGAGGGACCTTTAGCAGTCAGGACGGCAACGGCAAGGAACTGTCGTCGATTAAAAATATAAATTATATTTATAGTCAGAATTTTGTGAATAGCTGGATGTGTTTACTGTCCCTTACGGCGCCACACCTCAGCTTCAGTATCGTGTATGTGAGCGGGGTTAGGTTCCAAACTTAAACTTCAAACATTTTCCGTCAGTGTATCCATACAACATAAATTTGGACAACATAAATTTTGGTGATTTCACATTGTTTTTTAGTAGGACACGGCGACGAAATGTACAAAGGTTTAAAATGCACGTGCTGAGGTATTATTCTGCCAATAGATCCTTTGTTTCGCTGAGTCTTCATTGCCTTTGGTATTTAAAATCTCTTGCTACAACTAGAACCCAGTAACTCACTAGTACCCAAATTAAATGTGCTCAGCGGGATAGTTTGGCTGCCAAAACTTTAATCAGGGATGGGCTGAGCTCTTTCGTGAACATTTTAGGACGTGTGATTACACAAATAAGTATTTTGTCATTGCTAAGGTCAAATATCCTTATTTCTATTTTTATTGTATCATCTTGGTAATCTTTGTGAATGTGAAATTGCGACACTAGAAATATTCGTATTTAGCACCACCAGATCAGTCGCTTTTATTCCGATCCAATAATCTCGTGCTTACAGCTTATTTTTTTAACATAACACTGCCACGTGAGCTAAGAATTATGCGATGGTACACTCATTATATCTCATCTGGCTAGACAGAAATATAGCGTTATGGAGAAAACATTTTAAGATTGAAGAGTAGAAAGTGGAGTACAAAGAGCATTCTATTTACTTCTATTTCCTGCTGGAACGTTTGATCAGGTGATATTATTGACCAGCCGAATTGTCCCCCGTGGCGTAGCAAAATAAAGCGGTTGTAATCATAAACGATCGCTTTGATATGGGATTTTTTGGCGCACACGCAACTTAATTGAAGTCACGAAGGTGTTACCCTACCTGCTGTGCTCAACGCGACATAAAGAAGCTCTGTAACTCAGTTAATTCTGCAAAAGTCTTTGCAGCATTGTGTTTCAATTGCAATGCTTACACGGGGTTGCACTCTAGTAGAATCTCATTCTGGATAAATATTATCTTAAACTTAATCTGAACATTGTTAATCAATAAAAATTTACGGAGTAATTGCACGCCCAGGGAAGGTTTGAGGGGCACAACAGACAGGTGAAAGGGCTAAATTTCGTACTGTGCAAAGAAGAGGTTTTGTAAAACAATTTGATTGAAATAAAAGCCGACAATAGCTGGTGAAATATTTTCTCCAAGAGCTCTTCGTTTGAAATGAGAGTATGCGCATTGTGTACAATCCAGCAGGGCTTAGCCCCTGGAACTTTCTGAGTGCCTGATAGTGTCAAAGATAATATCTAAAGCGTTGTATGTCCGTTGACAAAGCGGATTTCAGGAAAAATTTTGCTTCGGCGTCGTAAATCTGAACAACCTCTGCCCCTGTTGTCTTGCAACATACCCTGACAAATCACGTGCATTTCTTTGCAGTGAAACATCTGTCCTGTGCATGTTGAAAAACTAGAACCTTATGTGGTTTCCATTTTGGTGGCTCGGTTATACGATGGCAGTCAAACTGCAGTAGACGCTCATAACACGCTAATCTATGAGCAGCCAATTGTCTGTAAAACTTCTCACTGGCTCTGTTTGACAACCAAATTGACGATGTTTTTATTACATCAAATAAATGAAAGATTACTTATCTAGGGAATGTTGGTTTAGCAGTTTATTTTGCACGATTTGTCCCAGCTGGAATGTTGATCATGCGAGCGCAGATAAACAACGTTGCCAAGAAAATTAACTCTTTCCGATATTTTCTTCACAAAAGCCGAGAAAGGCATTCGCCTTTGTACATCACTGGCAAAATTTTTCTTTGCACTAACGGTATCAAGCTTTGATGTTACGATAGTTTTTCTTTGATGAATTCGAAGCAGCGCTTCTTTAAGTATCCTGGCTTATTCTTTGTATTCAACGTCCTAAGCGCAATTTGCTGATCTTTTATCTCATACCTTTAGTGTCAAATTTCTGTTGCATTTAGAAATACATAAAACTGAACACAAACCTTATGAAATGCCCATTTCTAAACCTAATCTTTTTCCCCTAGCGTCAAATGTTCAATAACCCTTCTCAACCAGTGCCCAAGGTTAGCGTTTACCACCTTTCCTAGATGAGTTGGACAATGCAAAGCCTAGCAATATGCAAGGCAGTTCCAACATATGAAAGAACCGTTTAACCTAATTGGTTGTGGCTTGCCAAGGAATCGGAGTTTTCCGAAGAACAACGAGTAAACCATTCGATCGTGACCTCGATTGGAGGGTTTGGGTGTCGACTAAGAATTTTTTCTTTGTTTCACATTTGTGACAAATGTTTCGCATCTTTCTCCATGTCGCAATTGCTGGGTAAATTTACTTTCTCTATTTTTAGCAGTATGGTGGTTCATGTGATCCTGTACGTTGACAGCAGTAAAGAAAAACTCACCCCCAAAGTGAAAAGAGATCTCTTCCTGAAAAAAAAAATCTAATTAATTAGCACAGATGGCGCTGTTCGACCGCTCTCACATCTGGGCTCCTTTTGCTATAATAAACGTACAGAAAGGCTCAAAAACATAAATATTGAGAAATTTAATCCAACAGAGGAGGATCTTTTATTACTTTGGAGGTGAAACCATTTTCTAGCATAAGAAACATCGTCGTCGTGTACTCCGATGTAGAGCACGAATTTCATCAATCAAACAAAGCCTTTATTCTTAAGAGCAAAACTGAGTAGGAACAGCCTCTACTTGAGGATATCTAGGCTCAGCACAATGGGTGCAAAAAAAAGTTAAGTACACAAGGCTTGGGAGAAAAAGGAGGAAACTACTGAAGTACACTGAACGAGCGCGAGAACGTTGGGTTGAGGAAAAGGAAACCCGCATTTTATGACCTTCCAGTTGGCAAACTTTTGATCCAGTCTGCGCATGAGCGAAAGGTTCAATTGGCAGTGTCTTGGCAGTTAGTGACATTCAGGAAAGAGATAAAATGAGGCTTTTAAATCTGTGATATAATCAATCTCTCTACAAAGCACGCACAGAATATAGAAAGTAAATACGAGAGAGTATTGATTACATGACCCGCTGTGATACACGATGACAGTTTGAGTTAAATATACATGTATATATACACGTTTGCGGTATACGATTCACGCATTTGAATTTACACGTTTGTACCGTTCTCCAGTTTGCGGCAGAATGGGGAAAGACCTCGCCATGATTCATAAATCTTACAAAACGTGGTTGTGCAATGCTGCACTGTTTGCTCTGATCTGTGCTGCGTTTGCGGCAGGAGTACTGTTGGGCCCTCTTCTTACCCTTCGTGGAAAGGACGAATTGAAGACCTCACATTGCAGCCCGGACGGAGATAAAACCTCGCAGTTCTCAAACAATGCTCCAAGAGGTTCCAAATCTGAATGCATTTCTCGAGAGCAATTAGAAGACTTTATGAAACAATGGAGTCGTACCTTGGGTGATTTGATCGAGGACAAAATGCTGAACGCTACCAAGAGGAAACTAAATAGTGCAATTAGGAAATTTTCTAAAGACAGGGATGTCCAAACGCAGAGAACAATTGAAGGTAAGCCTAGGTTTGGATTTTTTAAATTTCCAATTTCTCTTAGAGAACCTTGTTTTAGGCCAAGGAGTAGTATTTGGCAAGTAAAAAAGCCACGAACAAGCATGTGGTGAAGGAAAAAAAAGTGGCATCTCTGGATAATTTTTGTTAGGAGGGAGGTATTTTGTGACTGAATTAAAAAAAAAAAAAAAAAACACCGTAAATTCTTATCTTAATACCGGATTCAATCGAAGTTAAGCGTCCATCCTTAGAATTTTACCTGTCAACGAGCTTCCAATAGTAATCTTCTTTATTTTGATACTTTCAAATTTCATCGGATCACGTATGAAACAAAAAACAACAACAACAACATTCAAAGACCTGATGAGATACAGTTCAAGTCAGTCAAGTGATGAAAATTGCTTCAGAATCACTTAAAATGCATCATCATTCGTATTTTTCGAAAGGGAAGGTATTTGCTGTTGAAAATGTCATCGACATTAACTGAAAAAACAAATGGCTGCATGATAGCTTTGCTTAACACTCGCGTTACGAAGTCTCCCCCAAGCTTTAATCAGCTTTAGTAAAAATAAGGCAATAAAACAGGCTACATGGACTTAACCTGAACAGCTAACACGACAAACTGTTGCAAAAAGAAAGAATTCAAACGACAGATTCTCCGATTTGCTTTTTAAGAAATTATTAGTTTTTTTTTGACGAGCTCGTGGCTATAACATGTGTACATTCACCCGCAGAGTTTTTTCATTAAGATGTTTCCGTTTGGCTTTCGATTTCACGAGTTTTTAACGCCCGCAATGCGATTTCATTCATCTGAAACTATTGCAATAGGAATCCAATGGTTTCACGAATGAATGCGGTTTCATTATTAGATTAGATCAGTGAGTTTTCATGACGTTACAAAACATACGAGAACTTGAAAATCACCTCTTATAGTGAAATACAAGTAATGGAAAACAATATGTCTTGAAGTATGTTTTGCCTCCCGTGCAGTGTCGCGAGACATTAACATTCTCTCAGTCTCAATTGCTTAGCTAATTTTTCTGTTATCTTTAATAGATACCCCAGGCAGTATATTAATTTCATGCGATTATCGAGTCACGTCTATTCGATAAACCTGGAGGGGTTCTATAATCTTGATATTTGCCTTGCGTGCTTGAGTTGAAGACTGTCGCGAAGTCCTGAGATCACGGGTACTTTTCTCCGAACACGGAATCCTAATTGAAAACAGGTGTCTCGAGCAACTTAAACGAGCAGCGTGCTTTAGTTTGTTTCCTTCCCACACAGGGCTTTTTTGCTAGCATTTCAGTCTGTCACTCGTTGTATCAAGCTGTTACTCGCTATATTAGTTTTGCTCTCTGCCCGTGTAGAGATTCAATGTTTTCCTTAACCTTCCCCCATGCAATCAAATGATCGATTTGCATGTCTTTTGTTTTATTGGTTGCACATATTTTTCCTTTTTTCTAGAGAGGTATAACTTAGATCATTCTTTCGACCGTCTTTGCAGTATTTTTGGCTTTTAAACAGATTCAAGAATGCTGTTTAAGTCATTAAAATCTGAAAACGATAAGATTAGCTGTTCCCGCGCCACAATTGTCGTGGCGCGCGGCTTTGCTTTTGTTCCACGATTGTGCGGAACAAATTAAAAGGAAAACCTGTGAAAAAGATTTGCTCCAATTGAAAGGTAAGGCAATTAAAACCGCTATTAAAACACGAAGGAAACAAGTTTTGCCGCCTCAACCTGTCATAAAACAAACGCAGCTTTTTATCAGCCGTTTATCGCGTGTTTGATGTCAGAGTTCAGTGAGTTATCGCTCACGGTTTTTTGTAGCCTGTCAAGACACCGCGTACCGAAACTCTGATAGACACGCAAACCGAACTCAGTAGTCACTCGCCGTTTGGGAGAAAGAGTAAGAGGAATAATGCGAAATATAAACCAAGGAATTACATGACCACTCTTTGGCCTCGTATTAACGAAAGCAGAAGGAAAATCTTTGCCTGTTTTTCGATTCAATCAAGCCAACTGTCATTACCAATCACTTTGCACACCGTAGTTTTTTTAGGAGAGTTTTCAGTTTGCATTCCGGAGGGCCGTGGCTATGAAAGAAGTTCGCCGATGAACCCTCCGGCGTAAAGGTAAACTTCTCAAGTCACATCTACCCCTGAATCGCTGCCAAATTTCCTCTCTCTTAACTCTTCTATTCTCTGTCAAAGATGTAAGGGAGAAAAACACATGCAAAACCAAGATAGAGATAGATTCCGACCGATTGTCATTGACGAAGAATCTCAGAATTCCGAAGAAGCTATGTAGACTGAAAAACTGAACAAAAGGTATAACAAAACCGTAAATTAAAGCAAAAAGCTTGTAAAGTTTTGCCTTTACTCGCATATTAGTGTATTCCTTTAATCCACTTTGCATTATAGGACCTTTAACACTGATTCTTCTTTATATTTCTTTTGGCTCCTTTTGTTTTCACCTAATGGAGGTGGCGTGGTCGATCCGTTAAAAGGACCTGGTAATAAATTTGGTGGTTCCATTACCGGCCATCCTAACCAATTGTATTTTTACCTCGGTAGACCGGGCGACCTCAACTCCTCTTCTACACTTTGTAAATAGCCGACTATTTAGCTTCCTTCCAGTTGAGGTGAAACTAATTTCCGTCCTATTTACGCTTTTGATTAAGGATGTATAATTTTAGTGACGCCAAACTGGATAGAGGTGCTAAATACATCAACACTTGATTTAAGTGCTTTATTCGTTTTAATGTGATTTTTTATTTTTTTATCGGTAGCTTTGATAAACAACATGCTAGCTAACTGGACCTCTCAACTGTTACTGCAAAACAACGTGCATAAGCCTTCAGAAAGACCGGTGACAGCTCGCTCGCAAGAAACCAAAAAACCCACAGAGAGGAAGACTGTTAAATCGACCACTAAACCAGACCTGGAAGTGATCGAAGTGGACTCTGTTGTGCCCACGACACAAGGTAACTCAGATGAGCGGTTTTTGTGTTCAGGTTCTATATATATAAATAGGCTTCAGCGAACTATCACGTTAGAGAACCGACTTCTAGCAAATCCTCATAATGCTAACAATCTCTCAAGTTGTTGAAACATTTGAGACTATCGTCGTCCGCTAAAGATCAGACCACGTGATCTGTAGTCTGTGAGCCTGGCTGTTTCGTAAACGTTTTACAGAGCGGCGAAGCTGCTCATATTCATGGAGTGTTCAAAAAAAAAAAAAACTGCTAGCAACGCTGGCTATAAGACCGACCGTTAACCCCCCACTGGTTAAAATATTTGCTTTATTTACTGTTAATAATCTTGTGTCTTCTCCTCTTCATTCTTTTATTTGAATCTTGCTTTTTAGATACGTCGGTCAATATTCCCGTACCCATAGCTCTATACCCCCTCAATGGAAAATACAAAACTTGGGACGTCAGCGGACGGAGCAATCCCAACGGCAATGCGCACGGGGTTCGACTCACCCCAGGACCGGATGGACATCCTCAAGGCTCGTACCAGTTTTCTGGGAAGAGCAACAGCTTCATTGAATTTCCAAACACAGGTGCACTGACTGCAAAGTATTCCATAACTCTTCTTGCCTGGGTTTATGTCGAGTCTAAAGGTGGACCTATATTTAACTACAATCCGCAGGGGTGGGGTGTTAGTTTGTGGATCAATTCAAAACGTTTCCTCACCGCTAAATTTATTGAGGACGATGGTGGTTGTAGGACGTGTTTAGTTAGCGCGCTGCCGTTTAAAGAAAACGTCTGGAGTTATGTGGGGATGTCTTACGACCACACCAGTGGCATTGCTAAGCTCTGGGTGAATGGACGTGTAAGCAGTCAGAGAAATATTGGAACAACGATTGGAGGTCTGTCAACATCGTGGAATGTGAGGATGGGTGCGCGCGCTGCGAAGGATGGGAACTATTTTAAAGGTCGGATATCCCGGATGCAAGTCTACGACAGGGCACTGACTCAACGTGAAGTCGAGGTTGTTGCAAATACTATTACAGGTATATTTTATCACTGTATCGTCTAACTGTATTTAGTCCAATCTGTTTTTGTGTGTCTGCGGCTGTCTACCTGTCTGTTGTCTGTGTATTTGCCTACGTTTGTGTCTCTCCGTTAGTCTGATAGTCTATCGACCACTTCTTAGAGGATATCAATGGGTTAGCCGTTAGCTTTCAAACGTCTAAACGATTAGTCCTTCGGCGTAAAAATTGACGCCTCTTCTTAGAATGAAGGCGCATTCGTTTGCGGTTTGATTTCCTATCTTCTATCTACCTCCTCGCTTAAAAATGTTTCCCATCTATTGATGTCAGTTTTTAAATTAAAAAAACAACAACAACAACAACTACTACAAAAGAAAAACGAGAAACTTAATCATCCCTGGTGACAATTTCCAATTCTAATGCTGCTTGCTTATCTTTTGATGACATCCTTCTGTTTTTGCTGACATCCTTTAGCTGAATTGTCAGTCAAACAAGGTAGACCTACCAAAAGGGTCGTTAAAAGCACGTTCTTACTCAGACTGACTCGTTTCCCAAATATTATTTTCTCTCCTACAGCTGGGATCTGCCCACAAGGATGGACGGGATTTCACTCATCGTGTTATTTGTTGTTCAACCGGTTGACAAACCAGTGGAATCAAGCCAGACAGGTTTGTCGAGAGCACGGAGGAGACCTGGTCAAGATCGAATCTCCAGAGGAAAACCATTTCGTGTACACACTGGCACATTACAAAGCTGCCAATAAAAAGTATGTAAAACCTTACATTTCAAAATTCATACAGAACTGTGACGTTAAGAACGATGTGAACGATTGTCGGTTGTGTTTGTATAGGGAGGCAACTGAGACAAGTTCTCAAGGTTTCGGTTTGTGCAACTCACATGCTGGAAACCACAGCTCGGTTTATGAGTTCAAATTTCCTTCATGAAGATTGAGAAATCAGTCCGAAACCTCACGTAAACCACGCTGAATTTCTTATAAGATAAAGACCGTCTCGCTAAACTGTTCTCAGATGATGAGGGCTGCGAGTCACCTGAAGAAAGCATTCACTGATTAATTTTCTCGTTGTCCCAAGGTACATGTGGATAGGCTTACTACGTGGCTCATCGAGTGAGCAGTTTGCCTGGGTGCACACCCCTCCTCCAATCCTGTACTCCAATTGGGCAACGGAAGAACCGAACAACCTCCACGGACGAGGCGAAAACTGCGGCCATATTTACATCTGGAAAGGCGATAAGGCCATGCTGTGGAACGACGAACTCTGTGTCAACCCGACGATCGGTCCAATGATTTTCATGTGCGAGATGAAACCGCTGGATCTTGGGCTCGAACCGATTAAATCTGGAAACTCAATCAACCAAGTGGGCTCCGGCGAAGGGGAGTCTGGGTCGGGAGAGCCCGCGAGTGGATGGGCCAGCGGAGACGTTAAAAACTTCCCGTCCAGACTGGACTAAGTCGAGATAAAGTAAATTATAGAGTAAATCCTGGAAAAGAACATCGCGCTTAGGAATGTACATAATCCGTCGCTTTTAGAGAGTCAAGGTTGTAAGGCCAAGAACCGCGGATGGACATAACCGAACCCCTTGGGGATGATATGGCAAACAAAGAGCAAAACGTCTTTGTACCCGATATAATAAAAGGGTTTAACAACGAGACCAATCAAAATAGGGTGTCACCCTTACTTCGTTTCTTTATTAACCGGGGCCCGGTTGTTCAAAGGCTGATTAGCACTAACCCAGAGTTAAATTTTAATCCAGGTTTCTATATTTCTCAAATCAAAAGCCATTTTGGGATAATTTTTCCAATTCTCTACAGTGGCTGATCCAGGGGGAGGTTCGGGGGGTCCGGACCCCCCCATCAGACCTGACGCTTACAACTTTGAGACTGAAATTATTACATCGACAGGATCATATATTACTTTTTAACGGGCTGATTTTTTTAATGAATCCAAGTAAACGGTAAGCGGCCAAGGAATTATAACGTGCAACCGCGACTGGCGGCAGGGGGTGTGGCGGAGAAGTAATTTGCCTCAAAAGAGTCCAACAGTCTTTTCTGAACCAGAGTTTGGACGCCCCCATCAAAAATTCCTAGATCCACCCCTGCTCCATAGAACATCCAATCACCAAATTGTAGACAAATGGAATTAAGCTGAATCTTCTTTGAAAGCTTTCAGACCTGATATCAAATTTCACACTAACCCTTGGTTATCTTAACTCAGCTTTGAACGACCCGGTCCAGAAGGACAAGGAATTTAAATAGATTTTGTAATCAGCACTTCAAAATATATATGTATAATTTCCAATATTTTTTATTCTTTTTTTATTCTATTTTCACGACCGATTGGAAAGTGATCCAATTAGCTGTCCTCAGTCGGCAATTGAGCCTCGTAAGGGAATCTGGATTGCTTTAGTTTTGCTTCACTTCGAAACTCGTGCTACCATTTCGACCAATCAAATGCAAAAGTAAAACTATTCCCAACTTGGTTGCATGCGTTTTCCCGCGCTACAAACAGGTTGCCTGTTTCTACTTTGAGTTCTCATTGGTTGTTGATGATGTCAACCTTTGTTCTCTGATTGGATGTTGTGATTACTTTAGTTTTGGTTCCGCGACACCGACTCTCGATTGAAAACTGATCTAACAGTTCAACTATTCTTCCGTTTATCCAAGAGATATATCCAAGCGCTTTTCTTGACGACGAATCCATTTAGATTATCCACAAACATAAACTCCAAAAGAAGGAGTTGTATCACTTGTACTACTTCTCATTCTTTTCGATTCGTAGGAGCCGTCATCTTCGTCAGTTAACAGTTTTGTTCAGATAAGAATCTAGAAGGGAGATTTCCGATTTGTAGGCAAAGCAAAGTATGCGGCTTTTTTGGTGTCTTTCCGCTTGCGACAAATCCTTCCAGAACACGGCTTTTTTTCTCTTTTGCTGGGAAGACAAAGAAAGCAACATCAGCTGAATTCAATTCATTGAAATGTCTCTCTCTTTCTTAACATCAAGAGCAGAGCAAATTAGGAATAGCTAAGGGAGGAGCACCTGGATTGAAGGCTGCCGTCCATCCCATCCTCAAGAATATGAGATTCTCTCATGTAATAAAATAATAATAATAATAATAATAATAATAATAATAATAAACAGTTTTTAACGTGGAGAAACACTTAGCTAGAAGCTAATTTACAGGTTTTCCACCAAACAACTGAAACAAATAATTCAAATTGAAAATAACATTATTAAGAATCCCAACTGGCCGAAGGCAAACCAGTTGGCTATATTACAAGCATGGCCGAGGATTTGAAACTCGGGGCTACCGTGAAACAAATCCAGGTAGTGGCCAGGGCGGGACTTGAACCCGGGAGCGGCGGATCGCAAGTCCGACACGCTGACCACTCGACCATGCTGCCCTCTGTGTTAGAAAAACGCGAGAATAAGGCAACAAAAAGAGAAATAAAACACAAAGGAACAAGGATGATAACGGATGGATATCTCAACAGATTGTAAATTACAAACTTGAAAATATTTGTACTAAATCCCTCACGATGAAGAAGAGTCACACAGCCCCTCAAGGTGATTCCTCAGCAAAAAAAAAGTTATCGAACATTTTTCAAACTTTCCTAGTTTTGAAAATACAATGAAATCTTTTTCATGGGTCACCGTACTCGTTTATGAGATATAATGGGTCAGTCTATTTATGCCTGTAATGGCACTAATCACGCGCGTCATTTCATTGGTTTTCGGTACATTCTGCGGTAGCTGGAAGCAAGGGTTTTTAAAGAAACACATTAAAAAAAAAACTTGCTTCACTGTGTTTGTTCATTGCTCCTCTCGACCGGTTAAACTGCAAACCTGAAAAACTTCGTTTCGTCTTGGGCACTCGTGGGCTTTTACTGCTAATTATCTTTGGCACATAAGTTAATTTGGTATTCGTTGCGTGGAAATCACTTGAGAGGTAGTCTAAACGCAAATGATCCAGCGGCCAACATCACCCCTCTCCATACATCAGCATCTAAACGGTCGGCAAGACTGAACCGAGCGACAAAATGCGCCAAATCGAGTAAGCGAGTTTATCTCTCAGGGAAAGCCAGACGGAAAGTGATTATTTTGTCATAGGTATCGAAGACTTAACCATTTAAATACAACATCACCCCTGAATCAAACATTACCGTCATGAGAATAAAGGAAATGATCACCGACTAAAGAAGCTCTTGATTGTTAAACAAATTCTCCTTGTCAGCATTTAGGGAGATGCATGGAGAATATTATGGAGAATATGCCTACTGATCTTAGGGTGTGGATGGTTGTAAATGTGGTCTAAGATGTGAAAAGCCTCAAAATCGTTTTGATTTCCTCAAATTTTACCAGTAAAACACAACAATAAAATTTATTTAGCCATGTTATACTAATGATAACCCTGTAAACGTAAGACACATTTTAACAATTAATCCTTGAAGACAACTCTGGTGCGTACAACACGTAAAACATATTTTTGATGTTATTTTTTTGCACCTAGACAATAACCTTCTTGTGAACTACGAAAACGTCACCTTCTTAAAACCATAATTTTACAACTATGACGCGGTTAATATCTGTTTTTTTTTTTGTTTGTTTTGTTTTTTTTTGTTTTTTTGTTTTTAACCACATGAACATGTTTCTACTCTAACGACCTGCATTGTCTCGGTCACCGTCAAACATGAAGCAACGAAACAAACCATACACAACGCCAACTTACTGAGTTGCTCCTTCTCTTTTTCCTCAATAAACTAAAACAAACTTGCAAATAATTTATCTTACTTTTGAATACCAAATCCGTTAAGGAACTCAACTAAAGATTTACATCAAAAACTCAATCTGTAAAACACTGCTGAATTTCCTGCATTCTTGTACAAACCTATGAGCGAAAACACCATATTTCATGTGTTCTGTGATTAAAGATGAACAAGATTGAAATTGTCGAATTAGTACCTAAAATACATAATATCTTTGATCATTCATTCTTTTATACCTTAATAATTTGGAAGAGATAAAATTAATCATAAAAAATGAAAGAGCAGAAAGGGAAAAATTACTAACGCATTCGATTAAACAAATGCAGAATGCGACGGAATTTTCTTAGCGTACAAGTAACTTAAGATCTTTGGCTTTGTTCAGCATCCTAAATGTGCACAACTTGGGAAACTTAAGAAGCAATGTTTATTGCATGGACATACTAGTAACCCCATCTCAAGGTAAATGCTGATCAAAACATGTTCTTTGAAAGCAGTGAAAAGAGTCTTAACGAAAAGATTCTGTGAACAGACTTTCTGTATGGTCATTTATGGAAAAAATGCATAGATGTACACGAAAGCAACTCAAAACCCACCGAAACAGTCAAAACTGCTCATGAACAAATTTCAACCATAACCAGACTACCAAGTTCCTATTAGTTTAAAATTAAAGACAGACCCATCTTTACTCCTTAATCCCTAAGAGTGAGTAACATATTATTTCTCCTGACATTATCTTAAAATAAAAAATGTAGATGGTGAGAATCAAGAATGATTACCGACCAATAAACAAAGTCACATTGTCAGTACCAGTGGAATTTATATGGAATCGTATGGAGAATATGCATACTGATGTTTGGTTGAAAGAAGTTCATATCTTAAGGTGGCTGAACACAGTTTTTGATACCTTTGTTTCTTTCACCATTTTCTCTAAAAACCCTCGATCTCTTGGTCGCCAAAACTGGCAGCAAGCAAACTAACAACACAAACTTTGTTTTTTTGATAGTTAAGCTGACGTGTGTGCCATTGCCATGGTGATATGAATAGACATAAATAGGCAATTAAAATCGGTTTTGTTTCTTTGTAGAAAATCTAGTCATTAGATTTTCTTTATAATTTGCATGCAATGAGCTTGTAACTATGCTCACAAGTTAACAGAGAGATCTTTGATTATCCCTTGTTGAAGGTTCACTCGATTATCTAGAATTTCCTTTGTTTAAAATCAATTTTTCAATACTCCGTTTACTTCTTTCCTAAAGCATTTTCGTGCCAAATTTCGTGAAATTCTAATGAGTGGTTCTCAAGAACTAGGCATATTTCCGAGAAAGCAATTTTCCATTCAATCACAATTTTTTTTACTTACTACACATGCGCTGCATTTAACTGGTTTCTTTCAGTAACAACGAAAAGCTGAGAATTGCTGGGTTCTTTGTACCATTAACTTTTCCAACATATCTTTGTAATAAAAGATACACTGAGCTAACTATGTAGTGAAAAATAGCACTGATAGTATTGTACATGTTGAGTAAATGAAATGACCGCTTTGTTGACGGCATGTTTGTTTTTTTGCAATCCTTGAGTGCATGCTAAATTGCATCAGCAAAAGTGCATGCGAAAACTGTGTTCAGACACCTCAAGCATAGAGCTCAAAGATTCTAGGTCAACTCAGTTTCATAACTATGCCACTGTAACTCCTTCACATTGTGATGTGCTTTACAATTCATGTACTCCTACCCCAAAATATCCTTCCTACCAGTACTATATTATATAAACAGTTCCAAAACTTTGGTTGATGTTGAGTCTTGCAGTCATTGTCCTGTGAAGTACAGTCCCCAAGAACCATATCTTTCTTGATGCAGTCTGTATGTCCCATGTTTCCAGTGATGTTCAGTCCATAAGTTCCATACGACATGTGATGTATAGTCAAGTTCCCTGTAATATAGTTCTTGATGTCTGTAACCCAGTCCATCAAGTCCAATGTCTTTCCCATTGTCAAACAAAGCATTTCCAGTGGCAGTGGAACATGTGTGCTTGGATGTGAGGAAAAGCTCGCTATCTGTGCTCAATGTTGTTTTAACTCAGTTTTACAAGTCTGTTGCCACATGACATAAACCACAAGGGGTGTCTTGCATAGGAAATAAACATGAAGAAACAAGTTTTACATTACCTTTGGTACATTAATCTGTGAGGATGAAAATACTAGTTGTGTAATTCTGCTGTTCCAACATCATGTGCGCGGTCTTTTTCTGGATGCTTCAGACTTAGGTGGATCAGCATGCATCACCTTTAACTTCATCCCAAGAACCTCATGACCATGCATTCCTTCAATGGCTGCATCGGCAGACTCCTTACTTGCAAACTTGGCATAACCAAAGTTACGATCTTTCATCATCCACACATCAATCAGGTTCCCAAACCTGCTGAAGACATCCTTCAGGGCATTTTCTGGTGGCGGGGCGGGTTGACACACAATAAACAGTCTTGAAACAACCTCAGAGGTGGGATTGGCCAAAGGAGATGGTGCTGGAAGAGCTGCTGAAGTGTAGACAGTAGTAGAGTCCACTGCATAGGGGCCAACAGTGAGTAATGGTTTAGAGCCATATGACTGAATCTGAAAAGCTGTATCACTACCCTGTCCTGTACCATTACTTCGCATCCCAGGAGGATCTTCTGCATATTTGACCAAAAGCTTTGAGCGCAATGGGTATTCAAACCCATTGAGTTTTTCCTTAGCATAGATTGCAGATCCGACAGAGTTGTATGTGACATAAGCAAAGCCCTTGGATTCTCCAGTGCTATAATTTTGCTTCAAATCGCACATCTGCATACCAGGAATGATGTCAAACAAGCGTGACAGTTGCGCAGGCCCTACCTCAGGGGAAACTTTAACAAACAGCCTGGTGGGGGTATGTGATGTTGTAATAGACTCTGCAACTGCTGCAGCGGGGTTTTGTGTACCATAGTGATCCCCAACTCCCTGAAGTGATGCAGCATTATTCACATTCATGCTGACTGCATGGCTGCTGACTGGCGCTGCCGCAGCTTGGGGGTAATTATTCACCTCTAGAAATGGATTGGGTGGGATTAATGTGGATTGCATGGCTGCTGCTGCAGCTGCTGCATTTCTAGCAATTTTAGCCGATTTGGGCTCAGCCCAAACAGCTTTCAAGGTCTTGTCACAGTTCTCAAGTGCAACAGCTGCTGCGGATGACTTCTTGAACTTAACATAGCCAAAGCCTTTGTTTTCACCAGTTTTATGGTCGCGCACAATTTGGACATACTCTATCTCTCCAAAGTCCTGGAATTTTTGACGCAAGTTATCCTCTGTGTACTCTTTGGGACAGATTATGAATAAACGGGTCAGCGCTGTTTCATCATGAAAATCTGTTTTAGAGCCGGAACACTTCGACTGGGCAATCATCGCCTAGTAAAACAAAAGAATAAAAAATGATTTGTTAGGTGAGAAGCAAAAAGGTTGAATTCTGGAAATCTAGAAGGCCAGTTTACTTATGCAAGTGACAGATTGATTAAATCTGTGCAAAACACTCTCAAAAGAATGTGTACCTCTTAGTTAAGTTTGCATCCTTTTCTAAAAATCATTGTGACAGATTGTGAAAACTTACTTTCTTTTTTTAATAGCAGTTTCAAACATTTGCCTTTTTTTTTTTACAGTGGACGTTGCTTATCTCTAGCCACAAGTATCCATCAGGGTTGTAACTAAGAAATTCAAACGATAGTAAGCGTGCAAACTCAGGGTTTTCCTTTTCGGCTGGCGACCGGCGATTTTTGCTGCCTGCGAACAGCTCCGTCACCGGCAACTAAAAGAGTCCTTGCTGTTATATAATTTAAGATATTTTACATAAATAATAAACACTTTGTATGTTGTCTGACAGTGACGTATAAGAAATGGAAGTCGATGAAAAGTACATATTTCAGCAAAAAACGAAGAAGAATTTTTACACGTGTACTGATACGTGACATTCAGTACAAGTTTGTGCGGTCAAGTCATGCATCACTGGCATCCCTTTGAGCTTAAAGATATGTAAATTATTCAATTTTTGCATTTAAATAAATTACTATTTGAAAGGTCAATTATCTTCTTGATTTATCTGCTTTTTAACTGTGTTAGTTAGAACAGATATACTTTAACTAGGAACTACTTATTCTCACTAAGCCAAAGCATCACAAATATTATCTTGGGTCAAGTCCGAAGTAAAGTAAGTCTCAGCCGATCATGCAGGATGCAATTGCAAAATATTAAATTTTTCTGTGGTGTTTGTGTTTTTGTTTACCTTTGATTTCTGTGTCAATATATCTTTATGTGAAATTCTTCAGATTGATTTGAGTGTTGTTTTACATTAATATTTACAAGTAATGTGCCCGGTATTACCAATAAACGTGCCAGAAAAGGGCTGCATTTTATCAAATACATTGTCATTTCTTGTGTTGTTAAGCCTGTTCATTTCCTTAATTTAAGCACCCAAAATGCACCAGATTGCACCTCAGAGCACTCAAATTTTCAAAATTTCCCACGGGGTGGGGCATGCCCCCGGACCCCCCTAGTTGTTCGCACCTTTGGCACTCAGGTTGGGCACTACACACCCAAATTGTCTCTGCCTGCTTCCCTTTCATCCGACTTCAACTTTCTTTGAAAAGGAAAACCCTGCAAACTCAGAAAGGCCCATTGTGTTGTATCAAGTAATTGCCAACCAAAAATCTAGCCACCAGTCACAGTTTTTTTCATTCTGCAAATTTTGCCAGCAGTTGGTTCTTAGCGACAGCCCTGATCTTTTGTCTCATACGAAGGGCACCCGCCAAGCTATTGAGTTGTGATAGCACATAAATTATTCTTATTTTACACAGGGTACATATCACATCCATCTATTAAAACTCTTTTCTCTGATCCCAATTAAATTCAAAATACAATTTTCAATGCACTGTAAAGTCTAAAACTGTTGTTTGAGGGCTAATGAACTATGCCATGAAAAAGTTCACTTAATCTTTGAATGAACCAAGAGTTGAAAGTGATTTTAGGAAAAGAACCAATGTCACTGAGAGAAATAATGATTTTGATCTTACTGGCATACTGATTAATAAGAATTTGGAGAAACTTGATGCAAACCAAATAATGAAGAAAAACTGGCCAATGAGAAATACTGTGAGACCCTTGGGTGGAAGCCACATTACAATCCTCTCTCTTCAACATCATTTACAGAACCTCCTCTTTTGTTGAAAGAAATATTTGAAATTGAGCTAAAAAATGCTAGTTATCTGTATTCACCTACAATTGTGGTACAAGTACACAAAATACTTCAAGTACAAAATTAGTTTACAAGTTTAATATTACAATATTTTCATATAGGTTTCCATAACAAACTAATAGTTTGCAATCAAACATGCATGAAGGGAAAAAAAAATAACCACTGTTGGGTGCCATCTACAAATTCAGTGACACTAGTGTAATTTCCCAACACCCATAGAGTAATTTTATTTTTTTCCACATCAGGAACAAAACCTGGACTTACAGCAGAAGTGGCAATTTGTGATATAAACTTAATTGACTCTCATTGAAGCCTTAAGGGAAGTGAGAACCTTTTAAAAACCTTGTCCTACTATGGGAAAAAATGTTCTGTTATGTTTACATAACAAATAACCTTTCAAAGTAGCACCTTTCAAACAAAAAAAAAACTCAGCTTTTCAAAGATTGAAAGGATAAAAATTATCTTGGGAGAAAACCTTTAAATTAGTGTTGCAGACATTTTTAATGCACCCATCAAAAATTCATTGTGAAAAATAAGGAAAAATTAGTTTGAGAAGCTTCACCTCATTAGGATTTCAAGTCACTAAACAAACACCAAAGCAAGAACAAGCTATTTCCTATCAATTTTTAACAACTTTCTCTTAGTGAGATGAACAAAGAGCCCTTGGAGTTGGTGGGGGCATTTTGCAAAAAATCCAAAATGTAACTCAAGACTGTGTAAACGCAATTAAAGTTGCCAAGAAGGGATTACGTTTGTGTCTCTCTACAATTCTTGATAAGAAAGTTTGCGATAAGTATATGATAATCTTTGGCCAATTATGAAGTTAATAGGGGATCGTGAAATATTCATGTTTTAAAGGTACATGTTTTCCATTTATCCACGTTGGAACACCCTACAGAGATGTTTTGGGTGATATAAAAAAAACAGTACGCTTCAAAACCAATTTTACGGAAGAGATTCTCATCAAACAAGGCAATCACCGAAGATCTCTCCAAATAGATACGTTTTTACATAGGCCTAGCCGTACTGTTTCCTAACTTATAGCAAAAAAGTGGTCATATAATATAAATAATTGAAAGCTTGTGAAAGCATTCGATTTAGACAATAACTCTGCTTTTCTTGCTCTGATCCATCACAATTTCTGGCAGGGAAAATATATTACTGAATTCGAAACTATAAAAACCCGAGGAAGACACAACTTCAGCTATAGATGCATCTTAAAAGCCGTAACACGAAGAAAAAACGCTTCGAAATTTCCCACTGAACAGGTTTTTAAAGCTCTAGCACATGGAATTTTGTAATTAGCAGTGGGTTGTTAGAATGCTTACACTAGAACAAACTTCAATACAAACTTCAACATAAGGCGACATAAGATAATTTGTTTGAAATCAGAGTCTGCCAAAATCAAAACGTACCTTGATCGGTTTAGGATCGTCTCCAATAATTTTCCCATCCATTTCTTCGCAAGCTCGCGCGGCCGAAGATGCTTTGGCGAACTTTATGTAACAGACGCCACGATTTTCTTTAGTCTGCTTGTCTTTGACAACCCAGATGTCTTCAATATAGCCAAATTGCTCAAATGCGGCTCTCATGTCTTCCGACGAATGCTTCTTACTGCAGACTATGAAAATACGTGAAAACGGTGGGCTATCCACGTCTACACGGCTAGAAATTGAGCCCGTATCCATACTTTGCTGGTTACTCACAGCCATCTTGAAAGCATTGAAAGCAGCATCCGTAACGCGAACTGCCTCGTGGGAAATGAGCAGTTCCGCGTTTCGATTCGCCCCAGTTCTCCGAAGCGATTTTCGATTCGAAGAGATTAGGGAGAGTCACAGAAGAAAAGTTTCATCGTCGAGTTCATCGTCGTATAACAGTGATTATTAAAAACTGGATCATTGGATAATGCAATTCAAGACTTTTTATTGGCTTAGCCATTATGGTATATCAGCCAATATACCATAATCTACAACTATGGTAAGCGTACGCGTCAGCTTAAAATCAAAAGGGAGCTAAAAAATCCAGTTTCTTCTTACAAAATAATAATTTCTTGAGGGCGTTTTTAATAAAACAATTATTCCACTCGCGCTTGTTGGATATGAGATGATTATAGCCAACTCGGCGCTACGCGCCTCGTTGGCTATCTATCATCTCATATCCAACGCGCGCTCGTGGAATAATTGTTAATTAGAAATCTGAATAAATTCTCATTTAATATGTTGCAACAATGTTAGCGATAACGACAAAATCGATTCCCTCATCGTTTAATTAGGAATTAACGTATAAAGAAGTTCCAAAAATGTAATAAATGGACGGGCGCATCAGAAAGCTGCAATATTTATAGTCTTAGTCTACGGGACCATATAGGCCAAAATAATTGTAGACTCTGTTAGACCTGAGTTGCTTCGAGCAAAAAGTCAAAGAATAGGTCCTGCAGTGATTCCTGGGCGGTCAGCGCATCCGCCATTCACGCAGCCGCACTAAACACATGTGGAGCCTCGCGCGTCGAGCGCGTCCATTTTAGTTTTGGGAACCAAACGCAAACTCCAAAGTGGTTCTTTTGTCTCCCCCATGCCTGATTCGGTGTAGTCCAGGCCAGAAACGCTCCTTACAGGGGTTTCAAATCATCGAAACTGCTAAACATGGTAAAAGAGATGATAGGAGGTTGTTGTGTTTGTTCGGACGAAAGAGGATGGGATGAGAATCCACTGGTTTACTGTGACGGCCATGGCTGCAATGTTGCCGTTCATCAGGGTAAGTAGAACCTACCTTTTAGATACCTCAAAGATTCCTTGCAGCATTTGAATTTTCTTGATGATCCAAGACTGTGTACTTATTAATTATCAGCGTGTTACGGCATCGTGCAAGTTCCAAAGGGACCGTGGTTTTGTCGGAAATGCGAATCCCAAGAAAGAATCGCTCGAGTGGTAAGCCGCTTATATTAGTCTATAACACTTGACAGTTCCTAGTACAGATCTGGAGCTTTCAGCAGTTCCAGAATAGGTTTCCTTTTCGTTTGTGAACTAAATGCTTGTATGATTTAACTTGTAAATTTCTCTCAATTAAACTGTCACGAAGTTCGTGTTTACAAGATAGCGTGACTCGACACGCAAGTTTTGGATTTCATGCTGATCGTTCGGTTTACATTTGCAGGTTAGCTTCGGAAGGGCCCTTCGATCGGCCACTTGACTTTTGTTAGGGTTCACGGAATAAAGATCTTAATTAGAGACATAACTTCTTGGTTTTGAGAAAAAGAAAACCTTTCATAAGCTTTGTAACATCGCTATAATGTACAGAGCACGTGTTAAGTGTTAGGAAAGAAATATATTTCTTGTCACTTTTAAGTTGTTCAATTGTCAAACATTTCTGTAACTGATTTGAATTTCATCTTTAAAGTCCAACTCATTATTTTTTTCATTTAGATTGACAAGGGCTTGTTGCTTATTGATTATTCAGGCTTAAAATTTCAATTTAAATTTCCAAACCATCAAAAGATACTGGAAATTGAAACACTGCACATATGTGCATGAATCTTTATCTAAGAGATGTAGAAAAGTAAAAGAAATCAACAGGAATCCAAGTCACAACAAGTCCATAACACAATTCTGTCCATATCTGAAATATTCCAGTTCTTTCTTCTGTGTCCTGAAAACCATCTATCAGGACTATTCAAGGTTTACCAGGAAAAATATGTTCTAAGTGCCCAAATGTTGTAGATGATGTCTAAAGATATTTTTCAGTCTTTAAGGCACTGAAAACAGACAGCACAACTTTCATGTACATTTGAGGTAGGCATAGAAATGCATGTTCGATTTGAGCTGGGAAAAACCAGTGCTTTCCATTTGCCCAGACCCTATATATTGAGAGATTCCAGATGTGAATGTAAAAAAATCATAATTTCAAACTTTGATGCGCTATCCTACTGTCATTTTCTAGAGTCATTTGGACTGTTACCTTTAACTACATTTGTCTAATTGCAGAAATGTGAATTGTGTCCATATAAGGAAGGTGCTCTTAAAAGAACAGATACTGGAGGTAAGCTTGTAGTCTACTCAGTAGTCATTGTGATAATGATAATAAAGATTTGCATTATTGAACAAGCATGAGGTCAAGATTAGGTAGCCAATCAGTACTCAGGACTCACTACATCTTCCCCCAAGGTGCTGTAAACTATATGATATTTAACAAATAGAGAAGCCTTGACTGTACCCTATTCTGTTGTAAAGCACACAGGAAAAGCTAGAGCACAAAAGAAGTATAAGGAGAAACAGAAGATGTAGTCAAGTGTTTCTCCCCACTTCTCGAGTATAGAACAAACCTTTCTGGCATTTGATACATTTAGAAGTTGATAAGGCTTGCAGGTTAACTGAAGTGTTCCATTTTATATCTACAGCAGAAACTTTGATTTCATAGGCTGTCTTTAAGTCTCTGAGTTAACTTGAATTTTTTAAATTTAATTCTTGTTTTTCAGGCTGGGCCCATGTTGTCTGTGCTCTGTACATTCCTGAAGTGAGATTTGGAAATGTTTCTACCATGGAACCAATCATTTTGGCATCTGTTCCTCATGATCGCTTCTGTAAGGTACTGATTTGTCAATCTTGTTACTCTTGGGAGTAGTCAGTTCACAACTTCCACCAGCAATTTCAATACACTGTCAGGTAAACAAGTGTTAAGAATTGAAATAATTGACGTGCGCTGTAGATTTCAGGATTAGCCATCCAAGAGATTGGAGAGTATTCGAGTAACTTGTTGTTTATCAAGGAAAATAGCAGGTACTCTTTATGGTCGGCATGTAATGGTCTGATACTTGAAGATCCTAGTCGTCGGTTTAAAGTTACATTGGGTGACCAATCGTTCAAAGCATCTGCCCCAAGAACTTGGAATGGACTACCAAGAGAGATAAGAGACCAGACTGATATAACCACGTTCAAGACAATGTTAAAAACGCATTTATTCAGAAGAGCATATTTCACTTTTCTCTAATTAGTCTCATGTAATTATAATGTAAATAGTTTAGTTAGTTTAGATACTTTTTTATTTAATTATGTAATTTATTATACTATAGGTGATTTTGTATTTTGTAAAGCGCTTTTGATCATATGTGCATGTAAAAGGTGCTATAGAAGTATTAAACATTATTATTATTAGAGTTAGATTTCAGTTCTGAGGATTGGTAAGGCAATATTTCAACCTGCTTTTTGAAAACAAAACACACACACACACACATGCAAGGCACTTTCTCTCTTACTTGTGTTCAGCAGGGAACTCATTGCTAATCTCTAACCACTTTATAATGAAACTTAAAGGAAAATGAACCTCCGTTCAAAATATTCATTATGCAAACATTCTTGGCATCAGGGTGTACAACTTTGGTCTCCTTCAGCAGTGTTTCAGATATCTGTTATTTTGACTCATGGTCATTACAGATTGTGGCTAACTACTGTAATTTGCATTTCTCATCAGACTTGTTATATTTGTGAAGAGAGAGGACGGGAGAGTAAGACAGCTCATGGAGCCTGTATGAGCTGCAACAAGGCAGGATGCAGATACGCTTTTCATGTCACTTGGTAAGCCATATGCATCAACATATCAAATCATGCAAGTTATCTATCGCTACTGCATGTTTTTCAATAAATACACGAAGCGATGCAATGCGCATGTCATACAATAGCTGTTATCAATTCTTCAACTTATCAAACACAACACTTTCACACAAAGCTAACTTATAACACTGAATCAGGGATGTAGCTAAAGTTTTTAACAGGCGGGAATCTAGCAATGATAGCCGGGTATTTGGACCAAAGGCCCAGTTAAGCGTGCCTGTGGCATTCATTATTTCGCATACATGAATTACAAATACCGCTGGCCATTGACTCTGCAAAATGGACAATGCGATGCGAATGATGCAATTGTCGTACTAAATGGAGTGTTTACAATCCTTTCAGTTCAGCTAAGACAGCAATGAAGCTGTAAAAAAATTAAATAAATAAATAAAAATCTTCTGACAACATTTAAAAATATTTTAAAGAAAGAAGTAGTGCTTTGCAGCCAGAAAAATTGTATTCACAGCTGGGTAATTTTCCTGGCTTCCGGCTATTATCTACATCCCTTCTGAATGACAAAGACCCATACATTTGAAAGTTGTGCATGTCTTGGGTTTATGCATGTATGGATTGTGTATATTCATGTATGGATTGTGTTTATGCATGTATGGATTGTGTTTATGCATGTATGGATTGTGTTTATGCATGTATGGATTGTGTATATGCATGTCTTATGACTTGCATCTGAGTGTGAAATGTGTTTGCACAGTTAACATACATGCATACCTGACTGGTACTGAAGTTTAAAGTAATTTTTTGAGGAATTTTGACAACAATCTTCTCAGTGGTTTTGATGCTCTTCACCTGGCAGTTGGTTTAAACACCTACAGTCGAACCTTGCTCATCCAGACTGGTCGAGACCTCGGTAAATAGTCCAGATGATAGATAGTCCTTAATAATCGAAAATATGAATATTAATGAGATAGAATTGTAAACAAAAGGTATATTGCAAAGAAAACATCATTTTGACTGTGAAATCTACACAGCCTGTATGTATTTACAAATAAAACTTTCAGTTCAGGTATTTACAAAGGTCTAAGATGTTCAAGCATGTTTGTTTGCCTCTAAGACTTGTAGCTTGATTACATTGTGTAGTCCATCATTCGTCTTAGCTGCATTAACTCCACAGGGTCAATATCGTCCTGTGATTCCATGTACAACAAACGTTTTTTGAAACATTGCGCTGCCTTTTTAGTCGATACTAGGACCAAATCAAGCCTGAAATTCCCTCGGCAACAAAACAATTGAGCCAATCAGATATCAGCTGAGTGCATCAGAATATTTCTTTGTCTTGTCACACTTGCGAATTTTGAAAAACTTACAGGATAATACACTGTTTCAACAGTCTTTTGAAAGGATTATTGGGCTTTTTACAACTTTGAGTTCTTGTGATCACAACTAATTAATATTCATGAAAAAATTGGGACCAGAGAAAAAAGTCTGGATAATCGAATAGTCTGGATAATCAAGGTCCGGATAATCGAGGTCCAGATAATTGAGGTTCGACTGTACAGTCTCTTAAACCTTTACACCTGAATCTCAATATCTATGATCTCTATACTCCTCTCCATACATTTACTTTGGTACTGTCTAGGAGAATTCATTGAACAATCAAAGCTTCTTACATGTATTTTAATGATCATTTCCTATATTCTCATGGTCTTAACAAATGATTAAGCAGTATTACTGTAAGGAGATATTAGATGCTTGTCGCACAAAGGGTGTAGAGGGCTAAGAGAATTAAGACCTACCCTAACTCTGCCTTGACAAGAAAATTAATACTGACCAGGTGATACCTTCCTAATTGAATAATCTCTTGTTTTGTGTTGTTTGTCAGTGCGCAGAGTTCTGGATTGCTTTGTGAGGAAAATGATGGCCAGTCAGGTCCGACAGTCAAGTATGTTGGTTACTGCCAGTTCCACTGGAATAAGAGGGTAATGCATGAGAATTTTTTTGTGATCACGTTTTTTTGTGTGTGTGTATGGGTGGGGGAGGGGGGTAGAGTGGATCAGGCTCAAGAGGGTTGGGGAGGGAGAGTTGATGAGGCTTAAGAGGTTGGAGTAGACCAACTGGCATCCCATCCAGGGGAAATGGCAATACTCCCAGTCTCCTCATGCCACAGAAACTGGGATAAGCTCCAACTGGATAGGCCACTTGGATTGAGTGCAGAATTTGCTTTTTTGTCACTGTATACTTACTGTGTGGGAGGCGCAGTGGCCTCATGGTTGGTGGGCTCGACTCCGAATCCAGTTGTCCGGGTTCGAGCCCTGGCTGCGGACATTGTGTTGTGTTCTTAGGCAAGACACTTCACTCTCACAGTGCTTCTTTTCACCCAGGTGCTTAATTGGGTACCTGCAAATTTAATGCTGGGGGGTAACCCTGCAATGGACCAACATCCCCTCCAGGGGGGGGAGTGGGAATACTCTTGGTCACTTCATGCAACGAAAACCGGAGTTAAGCGCCAGTCTGATGGGCCACTTGGCTCATGAAGAGACTTGACCTTACACTTACCTGTAACTGGTTCCCACATTAACAGTAAACAAATCCAGTTTTAATCAGGCAGGTAAATCATGACAGAAAAAATTTTCTCTTAAAAGGCTCACTCCAATCATCATATCTCTTATTTCAATTTTAACCTAACGGTGAATGTGTAAGTTTCATGTCACGCAACTTTGTTTTTTTTGTTGTTGTTGTTGTTGTTGTTGTTTTTTTTTTTGACAGGCTAAAGGTGTTCTGTTCAACAGTAAACCCGCAGAAAAAACGAATAAGATTCTAGAAAAAGAGAAAGATATCAAGGAAAAAGATACAAAGAACAAAGACATCAAGGACAGTGTAGAAAAACCAAAGATTGATAAAGATAAAGAAAAAGAAAAAGAAAAGAAAGCTCCAAAACCAAGGTTGTCCACTGGTCCTACATCTGCTGCTACAGCCACTGAACAATCACCTAAGGTTGACAGCAATGCCTCCAGCACGACTAGTCAACCTGTCACTCCTAAACAAAGAGGAAGAAAGCCCTCTACTGTTAAGACACCGACAGAGTCACCTTGTAATTCTAAGACAGCTGTAGAGACACCGAAACCACTGAACAGCATAACTGGTAATATCCCTATCCAGTTGGCAGTACCTGGGGTAGTGCCATTGTCAACTCTGCCTGTTCAGAGTGGTGCCTCCAGCATAGCAGCTACTGCCGTCAAGGACACTGTCCCAAGACCGGCGGCAATTCTTGGTCCGGAAATGCTGCCTAAATCTGTATCTTCTCAGTTGCAGGACATTCCACAACCTTCCTCCAGCGTCCTAGTACCTGAGATAGCAAAACAGATGGAGATAGTTATGCCAACAGAGGCAACTGCACCTAAACAGACAATTAAACCGACTGTGGTGGGTAATACTCAAACTAAGAAACGGGCTGCACCCAAGAGTGGGGATGAACCCAAGAGAAAAGTTGGTAGGCCCCCCTTAAAGAAAAAAAACAACACTCCCACAGTAAGTCGCAAGAATGGAACGCAAGTTTCTTCCTCGAATACAGTGACTTCCCCTTTAAATACAGCATTTTCATCAACATTTCCTCAGGAAAACCACGGGGCATCAACATCTCTTCCATCGTTGCCAACTTTTTCTAATCAGAATGTGCTTCCGAGCAATACTCAAGGAGCGAGTGTACGTCAGAACGGTCCAAGGACTCCGAGTCCGAACGCGTACATGATCCCACAACCACGAAACAGAGGACTTCTCGAGAACGGCCATCTACAACGGCCACCAAACAACAATGTGACCCAAGGACCTTTGTAAGTAATCACTTCAATTTTTATTTTTCGTAGCTGGTCTTAGTTTCATTATTCAGTCAATATTCATTGCCTGGGAGGAGTGGGAGGATTTTGTTTATGTCATTATAAAATTGACCTGAACCCCTATGAGGCTCTGTGGCCTTGTAGTGATCCCCCTTACTGGTAGTCAATTTTCATCAGTCCCCCCTTGAGTTGAGACGGCAATTCCTCTTCCCCCCCCCCCCCCAAAAAAAAAAAAAAAAAATTCACTCCCAGCGATCAATAATAACTCTTCCCCCAGCACAAGGGGATGGGTGTCTTTCAACCGGTCTCCCATTTTTATCACAGACAACTTCCAACAAGTTTAGAAGAACTGCTGGAATATCAGTGGGAACAGGGGGCTCAGTTTCTCATGCAGCAAGCGTCGCAGTATGATGGTAAGTACATGAAGCGATATCAAATGAGGGCGTAACGAGTGAGACACGCGTCTCTCGCGCGCATGAGGGCGTGTAACGAGTGAGACACGCGTATCTCGCGCATGTGTCGTCCTCCGCGTTCGCCTCGCGCCTCCCTCCTCTTGCCTGAAAGGCGTAAACAAATGAAGCCTGTCCCGCAGGCTGAAGGATTTGTTACAACCAAATATTATTTCAGAGCTGATTTTAAGAACGACGTAGGTAATCTTTTGTTAATAACTGCCTTTTTTTTTTTGTTTTTTTTTTGTATATTCTTAATTTCTAAAATCTTCAGCCAAGCTGTTATTTTCGTAGTAGATCTCCAGTCATTTTGGCTTTACGATTTCATTTTCCTTAACCGTCTGTCTATGAATAAAACTTTGTTTGTGCGTTTCCAGCAATTTCTGAAAGCTGTGTTGAAGTTGTAGCGTTTATGTTTGCATTGCTGGCGGGAGAAAGAGGCAGGGCCTCAATGAAACAATTTGAATATATCAACAAAGTTGAAATGGTAAATTGGCCACCGTTACGATTATAAAAGCTGACATTTCGAGCGTTAGCCCTTCGTCGGAGCGAATAGGGGAATTGTGGGTTGTGTGTGCTTTAAAGGCAGAAAAAGGAGCTACGTGATTGGTGGGAACATGGCAACGAGAAAAAATGAAACACTTCACCCTTTACCCGTAAGAGACTGACTTCTAATTTCTCTTTAAAACATCACCTTTGGATCAAATGAGAAATGGTCATGAGAATAAAGGAAGCGATCACCATATTTCGAAGCTTCGGATTGTCGATCAAATTCTCCATACCAGTATCACAGAGAATATTAAGGGAACAGTATAGAGAATATGAAGACTAATGTTAGGGTGTGGTCGAGCCTTGATCAGTTTCCGCTTGGTTTCTTTTCTTTTGGTTTCTTTGTTTGTTTGGTTGCTTTCAAGACGTGAATCGTCCGTGGAATACCATCCACAGGAATTTTTGATCGTGAGGTACAAACAGTGGTTTTCTCTTTTAAACCTCTCCACTTATTTTTCTTCTCTCTCTGCTTCATAGTTGCGTCACTGATGTCCAGCTTACATCAGCTTAAAGCCGACAATTCACGGCTCGAAGAACGTCTGTCTACCCTGACAAACCGGAAAAACCAGTTATTACAAGTGAATGCTCGGTTAGCCACTCCCATGTCCTGTACAAACACAAGCTCCACGGTCACGCCGTCCAACGCGAAGCAGCCGGCATTGAGTGGCTCTGGCGTGACAGCTGTAACGCAGGGTGCATTGTCAACCGACACCAAAACCACGCCGAGCAATTATGGTCCGCGAGGGTCCATAAGTGCTGGTTCAGATGGGGCACCCAAAGTGGATGTCTCTCCAGGCACCAAGGATGGTAAGGTCCCTTTGAGTTCTAGTGTTAAACCAGTGAGTGGCAGTGTTGTAGAAAAGGAAATACCAAACGGGGAGTTAAGAGGCGGCAAGAACAAGGAACAGCAAAACAAACGTCCAGAGACAAATTTGAACACTGCGCCAAGCACGTCTTCGTCCTCAACGTCTTTTCAGAAGCAGCCGGTGAAGGTAAATAGTTTGCTTGTGCCGACGGCGTCAAAAACAGCCCTGCCTCCTCAGACACTTTTAGCTCAGCAGGAAAAAGAGAAGCAGCAGAAACAAGCGCAGGTGAATGTGATGTCACATGTTATTACATCTGCTCATCCCACCTCAAAAACAACACAACAGGTACAACAACAACAGGTACAACAACAACAACAACAACAGCAGCAGTTGCAGTCGCGTTTTCAACCTCAGCAAAAAATTCTCCTTCCCCAGCCGTTACCCACGAGTCAGGCGTTTGCAGTGCCATCGTTTCCCCAAACGCCGCAGAAAGCCAACCAAAAAGTGCTCTTGCAACTCATCCAACAGGGAGATGATATTCATCGCTTGTCCAGCCAGAATTCTGCCTTTAGCCACGATAAAACCCAGCTAGTATCACAGCCGGTTCAGGCCCAAAAGCTGTTGCCAGGCACAGTACCTACACAGCAGTTTGCGGCTCCATCGCTCTCGCTCCCCTACCCGGGGTTTTTGACATTTAGGGATCCAATGAATTTGACTGGGACCCGTGTGGACATGATGAAGGCCGCACATTTAGCTCCTCTTCAGATGGTCTCGTTGGACAACAGTCAGACAGGCCCTAAGGAACGTTCTCAGGTACGTAAGTAAACAATTTTTCTCGTTCGAACAATGGCTTCTGGTGAAACTTAAAGCACAAAATGTTACAAGCTTGATACTGAAGCATTTTTTATCTGTTTTGTGACCCCCTCCCTAAAATCTGCCTAGAATGTTGGAGGCACACTCGCTTGTGACTCGCTAATTTTGGTTTTACTCGCCACAGTTTGACCTTACTTGTGATTTACCACTAAATAAGTACCATTCCCCAGCGCATTATTGTATCCAATTTCTAACTTTTGCTTATGTCGCGTGCTCATAAGCGCTCGTACCATACTTTTAAGACAGCCTTAAGTCTTGATCGTTGGTACCTAAGTGGTAATGTACATTTTGTACTGTAGTTAACATGTTTGCCTCTGACCAGATATATCTCCGTTTCATTTTCTCTGTTTTACTCTCAGTATTTCGACATGGATAAAGGTTCCAACACCGACAAGACTTCCAGAAACGGATAACGCTATGATTGCCTGAGCTCCTTGACTGTTTAGCGGAAGCATCAACGGTTGACTGAAGAAGTGACCGTCTTCTTCAAGGACAACGGAAATCGAATTTGAATCGCTAAGTTAAATCATTGTGTATCGACACTAATCAGAATTCGACATGCTCAAAAAGTGAGGCATTCAAGAGAGCTTCGCGTCCACATCTCCATTCGTGAGCCTACATCAAGGCTTTACACGCCATTTAAGGCTGCTTGGACGTATCAAGAACTTTAATAATTTTCGTAAATATTACACAGAAATGGAAACGAATTTTCAGGGAACCAAAACTGGGAAGACGGCGAGTGGTTATTGGGCCGGCCATCCATTGCTAGCAATTATGGGTTATCGTACGAAGAGACCGACCACCCTTTTAAGGCTATGTTCTAAAGTTGATTCTCTAAGTTACTTTTAGAGTCAAGGCAACTGATCTCGAAGTAATTCCATGTACCCCCCCCCCCCAGCATTTACCGTGATTGTTCTAGTTTACACCAATAGACGTCGTATGGTGTTCATGAGAGCAATATCCTCAACAGGGTCCGCCTCAAAGTGTCTCGACGACATCGTGTATCAGTAAGAACCTTTTTGAAATAATTTTACCTCCATTGTAGCTAAAGCAGTCACACGTTTTGCAAATCGTTCTGTACAAAGTTTTTACGTAGCTTAAGGATTTCAACTGCATATAGCTTGCTTTATAAGTCCATTTTTTTTTTAGCCTTATTCCCGATTTGTTTCACTGTCGTTATTATTTATATTAATATGTCAGAGTGCTTTTTTAGTTAGCAACTAGCACTAACCCCCCCTAAATCTCACCCAAAGGTGGGTCATTGTAAGCTACTAAAATTGTCCAGAGATGAAGTTAAAAAACGAAACGCAGTTTAATCTCGGAAGCAGTGCCCGTTTTTACTTGTTTAAAGAGATGCGCGCTTTCGTTTAAACGCACTTGATTATTTAACGCATAATTATTACAAAACCAGAAATGTTGCAAAATCCGTGAATTGCCATTGATTGGCTGGGAAAGTTTTGATTCGTTAGCGGCTTATTGTGGTACAGAGATGGATTTCAGAGAGTTATATTATTATATGATGGGTGTACATTTGCTCAATGTGTAAAGCTGATGATAAATATTTCAACTTGAATCCTTTTGTAGTTCGTGTTTTTTATCATCCAGACACCGTAACCCGCTCAGACTTGACCAGCAAGTGTTTTGTGTTTACAAAATAAATTATTACGTGAACAAAGTAGCTTTACGGATCTCATCGTGGTTCTCGATGAGTTAACTTTCCCGACCTTCCCAGAGACTTCTTTCCTGCTAAACAAAAGTTGCCTCAGGGGTTAAGAATTATGGAAAATTTGTGTTTGTTGCGAGGAACGATTCTTAAGGTGTACCATCTTCTGAACCCTGGGCAAAGCTCGAACATGGATTCAAATGCCTCCTACTCGTTCCCGTCCTCCAAGACAGAAAACCCTTGATCCTGACCCCAGCATACAAACTCGGCTTTGCAGGTTTCAAGGAGTGCTTTGATTATGAAGTCGAGCTTCCTTGAAAAAAAAAATTCTTAATGAGTGTCGAAAGCCATCTGAGATTTCGTTGACTTTGCTTTATTTCGCTATATGAAAACTCGCGCCTCTCTCTCAACCAGTCAGATGCAAAATTAAAAGTAATCACGACTACAACCTGGTCACCCGCGTTTTCCCGCGCCTCGAGTTCTCATTGGTTCCTGGTAGTATTTTTCTTGCCATGATTGGCTGTCGTTATTGCTTTGGTTTTGGCTTTACGTCACTCAACCGAATAGCACTTTTAATTATTTTGTTGGTTGATTTATTTCGATGGCAGTTGTCTAACGTCTGAATTACAAATGTACACAACACGCACAGATCTGAGAGCGAGCGAATCAATAACACAAGAAGCTAATACCATCAACAGCTTTAATTTTTTTTTTTTTGTCTAAATGTGAAATATATACAACCATTTTCCATGTCTGAAATTTATTCATGAATAGTAAGAAATAATGTCGCCAAGAAATTATTAAGGTCATTAAGAAACACAGGGAATTCTGTACCATTTTAATTGTTCAAGGTTTATATTTATGTCAAATTAAGCCATCGCAAAAGTCTTTGAATTATTTCCGAAATTTGCGAACCTTTGTAGTTTTCGTTCCACCCCTGAATCTTGCGAAGAAGTTTGACAAAGTTGATTTTTTGTTTTTTTCATTTTCCTCTTCTCCCCAGGCATTTTTGTCATTCAGATTCAAGGCAATTTGATTGGCATTACAGACTGGACTTGTACTCGTTGGAAGGTCCTCATCATCGTAAAGCAGATTTCCCGTTATTTCATCTGTATTGATCACATTAAAATTGTCCGATAGAGTAGGTGGCAACAACTGGGACGATTTCACATTTTCCTCTGGAAGGATCAACGAGATATTGTAGTCAGTGTCCTTATCTATCTCTTCACCTGGCACGACTTTGTTCCTTTTAAATCTCGCTCTCTTCTTCTTCTGGTGCTTCAAGTTGAGGTTTTCTGCTTCCCTGACGGAGTTATCGTCGAAGAATTCTCCACCGCTCGTCCCGGCTTCCGGTACGATGGGATAAAAGACACTTTCATCCACTTTCTCAATTTTCTTCACTCTTGTCTTACGAACTATTCGGAATCGGACTCTATTGTTCTCGTTTCTTTTTAAGCCAAAGCTGATCAAAAACATGAAAAAGAACACTATGGAAGACATCTCGCGAGATAAGCGAGTGATTTTTCATGTAAATGTTTCCTTTTTCACAATGCGCACTGATTGCGTCAAATGTTTATGTCACAATACAGCTGACATAAGAAAAGCCCGCGCGCAGTTCTCAAGTCAACATGAAAATTCCCCCTACTTGCTATGCCACGGTTCATACAATATACTTGTTGGGAGAATTCCGATTAGAACGGAACCGAAGTATGAACATCAAATTAAAGCCACCTTCTGCGACGCGAAACATTGCTTTCGACTAAGATTATAGGAAAATACAAAAATTACGCTGGGAACTCATGGTTCGGTGAGAAAGAAATAAAAACAAAATAGGAAAAATGACTCAGATGAAACAGGCTCAAGTCTGTACATAAACTAGCCAGTTTCTGTTGCACAAAGCAAATCCCGCTTCCCCCCTTTGGCTCCGTATAACATAAAGACAGCTTGTTCGTCGCAAGCGAAAGATCGGTCAGGATTAAAACACAGCGGTGACTCGGTGTGAAATTCTGCGCAGATGATGAAGGCTTGGAAAAAAAATCGCTACAGTTCATAAAAAAAAGTAAGAATTTTTGCACAAAAGAGCCCGCAGATGATCATTGCCTGGGCTTAGACTAAACCGTCAGCAGCAAAGGAACCTGGAATGAAAGAAGACAATGACGGCAACCGTTAAGGAAATTTAACTACAATGAGTCTAACTTGTCAGTCTTACTCGTATTGGATCATTTTTTCTCACAATCAATTTTACTTCCGTATACTTTGTTTTTTCAAGCTTACCAAGACAAGGACAGGCAATTCCTTACAGAACGTCAGCTCTATTGAACTGTCCTTTTTTTATCGAATGCAGACGAGTTAAATAATAAAATTGAGTTAATCGAGTCAGTCATGGAGGGTTGATGGCTTTTACGGCTAACGGTTAAAATTTTTGCCATTTACGGCTACGGTCATCCCAGAATGATGAAAAAAGGAAACATTTTAGTAGGGTAACATTTTTATGGTTAACTCTTTTGACGACAAGCGGTTGGAATTTGTCAATTTTAACGCCCAACGGCTAAACGTTTTGGTGGTTTTTACAGCTAACGGACCCTCTTCATGACAGAGAAGACACTGGGTAATAGTGTGACAAATGCTTGAGATCTGGGCCCCATTGTACGTCACAATTTACATAGCAACGACAGCACGATCCTGGCCATCTTCAATGATACTGTGTTCAGGAGATTTCTCAGGCCTGGAAAGTTAGATTTGCCATAATATGGCAACAATCACAGCGAGGCGAAATCAAGACAAGATCGCCGAGAATCTAGAACGCGAGACTCACTGTAAGTATTGTAATTATTCTTTTATTGCGCGCGTCTCTGCAGTGTGTTGCGTTGACTTCTGCTACATGTTTGAAATTAGCTGCTGCTCTCTTCTCCACTGCAATGAAAAGTCCAATGAAGTCTTACGAGACTGTTGACCATGCTTTCATGAAACTCACGGTACAGTCAGCTTTGAATGCTTGCATCAAATTAATCGAAAAATTAATATTCTAAACTTTGTTGAACATTTGATGGCACGCAACTTAGCGATGATGTGTTCGAATTCGAAACCGATCGTGCACCCACCGGTATCCGGTCTTTTCGTCCAAGAGTCTTTTCGTCGAAAGCCTTAGGTCCATTCCTCCAAAATCAAGTCTTTCGTCAAAGTTACAACATTATTTTAAATGAAGTTGTAACGCAATAKATTTTATTAGATAGTGACAAAAATAAAGACTTGCCGTTTAATTATTTCGCGCAAAAGAAATCGTAAAATTAGGCTTGTTGTTAAGTGTCTGTTAGGCGCAATAGACAACTAAATGTAACATCACTAAATGTCCGGCATAACCAACAACATAGTCAAACATGATAAAGAAATAAAACTAAGCCAAAAATGGCCCCAAAATAAGCATCTTCTCTGTGTATTTATCGTAATTGACGACGTTGAGTTCGTAAACAAGGATTGGTGACTAAGCTATCGGAACCAAAATGGCAACGGCTCGCACCAATAAGTTCTTTATATAGCCTTATCTAAACATCGAAAAGTTATTTATTTGCTTCGAGAAAAGACTTAACAATTTGAAGAACAGATCTAGATGACAAAATTTTTGGACGAAAGACTTTTGGACGAAAAGACTGTAATTCCATGCACCCACCGAACAAAGAGCTTTCCATGATCTTGCGCTAGTCTAGAGTCAATCAAAAGCAGTAATTTATCTCGATAATTTTGATATTTTGGAAATTGACATCAAGGAATCCCCAGTTTCTGTGGTAATACCCAATATTCAGAGCCTTAGGTGTACCAGGGTATGAACACGAGAGGTGGAACTTAACTGATTTTTGCTGCCGGATTACAGCGCAAAATTAACACTGAATCTCGCGAAAAAAATTGTTAAAGTCGATTTTTTTGTCTTTCTCATTTCCCTCTTCTTCCCAGGCATTTTTGTCCTTTAAATTCAAGGAAATTTGATTGCTTGCTTTATCTTACGCCAGTCCAGGGTCAACAGAAGCAACATGATGATATTGATTAATTTATCTCGATAATTTTGATATTTTCATTTCATTTTGAAATTGACATCAAGGAATCCCCCGTTTCTGTGGTAATACCAAATATTCAGAGCCTTAAGTGTTGCTGGATACCATCAGAATGCATGCTATAACCAGAGTATAAATGCGAGAGGTGGAACTTAACTGATTATTGCTGTCTGATTACAGTGTAAACACTGGGCCTCTCCATGTGATCCCCCATCCTCCACTTCTAACTCTATTACCTGACTGCACCACAGTCTTTTTTGTTTTTTTTTGTTTTTTGAAGTTGCTTTATGGTGACCGGTTTAATAGTGACACCACTTGCTGACACTTTTTATGGTCCTTAACAGGTTTGACTGTGGAGGCGCGGTGGCCTCATGGTTGGTGCGCTTGACTCCAGATCAAGTGGTCTGGGTTCGAGCCCCGACCGGGACATTGTGTTGTGTTCTTAGGCAAGACACTTTAATCTCACAGTGCCTCTCTTCACCCAGGTGTAAAAATGGGTACCAGCAAATTTAATGCTGGGGGGTAACCCTGCAGTAGACTGGCATCCCATCCAGGGGGGAGTAGAAATACTCCTAGTCGCTTCATGCTACAGAAACTGGAGTTAAGCACCAGCCTTAAATGGGCCACTAGGCTTGTAAACAGACTTTACCTTTTTAACAGGTTTGACTGCATCATCAATCAGCATCACAACTGAGAAATTTGATCAATCAGTGTTCATTCGGGAAAATGTTGCAAAATAGAAATTAGCAAGAGTGCACAATGCTTCAAAATCATCATGATTATTTATAGATAGACTTAAATGATTTAAAACTTAATCCCCATTAGTGTACACCATAATGGTATTGAAACAGAATGGACTTTCAATGATTTCATTCTTAAAATTGTGGCTCCAATTGTGTTTTAGTCTCGGGAGAGGAGGTCAAGAGCTTGCTAGGAATGTTTGAAGCTAATTCAAAGAATGGGAAAATGGACAGGACAACATTTAGAGACATATTGTATAATGATTTTGGACTGACAGAGGATATCATTATGGACAGAGGTTAGCAATGAATAGAAATATTTTTGGAGTTGTAAAAAACACAGTGATCACACCAGCACGCACTGGCTCTGACTACACTGGCCTGTGCAAGCTTTCCAGAACTTTTTGTGCCACTCTCATACAGGGATTTCAAAGATGTGTTTTCAATGGTGTATGAGTTGGCCGATAATTGGATCATTTAATATTTAGTACTTATTGTTAGTTGCGGCTAGAGAGTGTATATGTAAGAAAGCCACAGATCAAGATAGTGGTTGATAACAAACTTACTGTACAAACTTAAGGTAAATATTAATTTATGGATTCCTCTTTTTTCAGTATTCCGAGTTTTTGATGAGGACAATGATGGAAATCTTAATATGAAGGAGTGGGTTTGTGGCCTGTCAAAGTTTCTCAAGGGAACATTTAAGGAGCAAATGGACTGTAAGTTAAGTTTGGTTAAGTATTATAGTGCTGATTATTTTACCAAATTTACAGAAGAATCATTTTTAATAATCAATAACTTTTGGCGGTATTTTATCCACTTTTTTTAAAGTAAAATGAGCTATTAAAAAGCAATAATTACTTTTTGCCATCTTTACCATCTCTTTTATCATCATAATCAATATTACATGCAACCAACTTCAGTCAGATTTCCATCACAAAACTTCTCCATAATGAGATAATGCATTCACCAAAATTAATTTCCTCTAATAAGCACCTGAGGGGTTATTAATAATTTGGGCTAAAGGAAGGAGGAGTGCTTACTGAAAGGAGGGTGCTTAATCAAGGGGGGGGGGCATCTATTATTCTCCTGTTCTGATTCCCTGGTAGTTGAAGATTAAAATGTTATAATAAAATACTGTCAGTGGTAATAGAAACAGGTTTTCCTTGCTTTCCTGCTATTTAAGAAAGTGAGGGTGGACGGGGGTATTTTTTCGAAAGGGGCGCTCATTTGACATCATAGATAGGGGTAGGTGCTTATTCGGGTGAGGGTGCTTGTTAGAGCATGGGCACTAATATTCAAAGAAATATGGTATCATGGAACATTCCGTCTTTGATCTTTGCTTGAACTTGAAACTGAGTGACTATCCCTTTATCTTTTTCCCTATACAGTTTGTTTTAATGTGTATGACCTCAATGGCCAGGGTTTCATATTACGAGAACAAATCCAACACATGTTGAAAGAGTGCATGGTCAAGGTGAGTTCAGTGGGGGGGTGGGGTGGGGGTATACGTAACCAGCTTGTAACATCTGCAGCACAACTGACATGCAGTGTTGTGTGACTTAGTTATTTATTTGTTGGTTGTATTGTTGGTTCAATTTTTTCTCAGTTTAAAATTGTTGAAAAGAGTTTCATTTTCACTCTTTTCTATTCTCTGTCTCCAACAGGGATGAGAATTATAAAAGTCTAATTGATTTATAACTTTTTAAATATAGGGAAGGCTTCAAAAGTAGATTAACTCTGAGGAATGCTTTTTTCAGACTTTAAAGAGTTGTGAGGTTGTTTTCTTAGACTAAAAAAAATCTCTCAAAGTAATTCTCCTAGCCAACTCATTGAAAGGGACTGCTTGTTAACTCAATTTTGAAAATGTTGCTGTAGGTAATTGAGTGTTCAACTGAGGTTGTTTTTTCTTGATCCTAAGTCATCAACTGAAGAAGATGCAGATGAACAAGTAAAAGACCTTGTTGATTTATCTTTGAAGAAAATGGTATGTTTTGGGCTATATGCATGTATGTAAGTTAAGTAAAATTGACTTAGAAAATGTGAATTTAACCATTTAAGGACTATAACTTCATTACAGTTATTTAATACAATTTTTTCCACTGTCAAATCTTTTTAAGGTTTACACATCAGGTAGTTCTCCTGTTTAGACTTGAACTTAGTAAATTACTAATTTCCAATGAAAAACAGAAAGAGAACAACATGTTAGGTTAACATGAACAAAAAACTGCACACCTTGCTTATTTGAAATTTTATTCAGACCTACTGGTGGACAAGATTATGATGATAGTACATACTAAAACAGTGGATGGCATAGAAGGCACACTCTGATTGGCTATGCTCAAACTTCAATTATCCTTAATTTGTTAATAACCAGGGGGCAACTTGCAACAGGTTTGTACTGTCATTTGCACCTGAAAATATTGTAATTGTTGCAGGAATAAAGGAATTAAAACCTTTTTTTTTTGGCTATAAATTATTATCTCACTGTCATAAAAAACAACTTATCACCTCAGTGTTGGTGGCTAGCCACCTCCACTTCAGTGAATAGTTATAGTTGTTAATTATCTTTCATGCAAAAAACCTATCCCAGATGAAAGAAATTGAGACATTCATTGTTTCTCATTTTCTGCCCACCAGGATGAGGACAAAGATGGAAAAATTTCACTAAAGGATTTCAAAGCTGCAGTAACAAAGGAGAAACTTCTTCTGGAGATATTTGGAAAATGTCTGCCAGGATCCAAGGTTTGTACTATCTTGAATAAACAGACTTGTCACATGGGAAATGTCCTTGATTCTGGTCAGAGCAAAAAATACCTCAAAGAAGAGGTTTAGGTCATACTTGCACGATGAAGACTTCTGTAACCCCTCACTCCTTCTCTCCCTCCTTCCCTCTCTCCCTCCTTCCCTCTCTCCCCCCTTGTTCCTCTGCTCGCTCCCACCTTTCTTCCCTCCTTCCCTTCCTCCTCTTCTCCCTCCTCTCCCTCCTCTGCTCTTACCTCCACTCCCTTCTTCCCTCCATTCTTCCCTCCCTCCTTTTCTTCCTCTGCTCCCTCCTTCCCTCCCTTCTGCCCTCCTTTCTCCACTCGCTCCCTTCTCCCCTTCTTCCTCTGCTTCCTTCTTCCCTCCCTCCTCTGCTCCCTTCTTCCCTCCCTCCTCCCCTCCCTCCTCCACTCTCTTCTTCCCTCCCTCCTCCTCTCCTACCTCTGCTCCCTGCTTCCCTCCTTCCTCCCCTCCCTTCTTCCCTCCCTCCTCCCCTCCTTCCTCCACTCCTTTTTTACCTCCTTCCTCCTCTCCCTCCTCTCCTCCCCTCCTTCCTCCACTCCATCCCTCCTCTCCTCCCTTCTTCCCTCCCTCCTCCCCAGCCTCCTTTATCCGCNTTCCCTGCTTCCTCCCCTCCTACCTTCGCTCCCTTCTTTCCCTTCCCTCCTTGCTCTGCTCTCTTTTTACCTCTCCCCTCCCCTCCTTCCTCTGCTCCCTTCCTCCCTCCCTTCTCTTCTCCCTCCTCCCCTCCCCACCTCTGAGGACTTTGTGAAACAAGTCTCAATAGTGTGTTGAGAAAAGAAGAAACCCCTGGTTGGGGTGGAATTATCATCTTCAGTTTAGTTTTGATTTAGGTGTCAAAGCTTCTCGATACTTTTTTCATACTTGGGCAGATGTCCTCAGTGGAACTACGGTTAACTATGGAAGAAGTCAGACACACTTGTTGCAAGAAAACCTGTAAAAGACAGCAGTGTCCTGTCAGAAGTCTTTGTCCTCTCTATCTGTTCTCATTCCTTCAAAGTTTTGCTTGCTTTGAGATTTTAGGCTTGTCATGGTAAAAGTGATGAACACCTCTTCATAGGAGACTGTCACTTGCCAGTTTCAGTAGCTTGTCAGTTATCTGGCATGCATTTGTTAGTGGTCTTTTGATTAACTGTAGGCCACTTTTCAATCAGTTGTTGGTATAAAATTAGTCAGCCAATTAGCCGGTCTCCTTTGCAGCCATGTTTGTGTGGTGTTGTCCTGCAATACAATCTACCCCAGGATGTGTGACGAGACCAAACAACAGCTGCAAGGGAGACTAACTACTGGCCAAATGTTGCAAGTCTTTCAGTAATTTTGGCAATTTTTCCACCTGTCCATAAGAGGGAACTATTTTTCACTTTAACTGCTTGATATTTTCAGAGTCATGGGACAAGTCATTTCACTGTCAGTGGTATCTAATGTGTATTTTCCTTTTCTTTGTAGGAAACAACAAAATTTCTTCTGAATTTTACAAGCTGTTAATAGTAAAGAATGCCAATTTAACTACCATTAGAAAGGACAGACTGTTCTTTGCATGTAATGTAGCCCAACTTTGATAGTTGTTGAATTTAAAATAATGAAGAGGTAGAATCATTCCGCACTGAAACATCTGTTTCTTCAATCAGCATCATTAAATGTTGCTGCAGGTAGTGAAGGAACATTTTTTCTTAATGGTACATTTAAAAAAATTGTATTTAAGACATCCATTGTAAATAGAAACTGGAGAGAGTGGATGCATAGGCATGTATGCAATCATTCTGGTTTTGTGAAATAAAAATGTGTATGTTTAGTCATACTTGTCTGATGAACAATAAAGAATGCCTCCCCAGTTCTTTTGAAACTGCTATGTTGTGCAGAATTTATTCTGTAATAATTTCTTAATTGTTCAACTTCCCCTTGAGCTGGCCAGATATAGTGATTTCATGCATTCCAATTTCTTACCCACATGCACAGATCTTAGTCTGAAAGCACGCCCTCATTAAAATAGCCACAGAATGCATTTTTTGCCACAAGCCAGGGAAAGGTTTGCTGGGCGTCTGGCACTTTTAATTTCAGTTCTACACCCTTGCAGACCTCTTGCCTGCAGTTCAAAACGGGCTCACGCCAAAGGGCTTGCTTGCTTCCTTTTTTTTGTTTTGTTTTTGGACAACTAAGCTTAGCTACATTGGCCAGACTTAGAGGACACAGGCAAGAAGTGTCAAAATATTCCTGTTTACAGCTGTAGTAATTCATGACAGTATAACATGTACAGCTTCTACATTATGTGGGGCCTTTGTAATTGTTATAATCATAATTGTGTTTGTTTAACTCTCAATTAACAAATTAAGACAGCAATCCATTTACTTCAGCAGACCTTTATCTACTCAGTCCGTTTAATCATTTTACATTTTATTACAAATCTTCAAAATGCATCTAAGAAAATTTATTTTATATTTTAATCCCAATCTCTAAATGTATCTAAAAAAAAAAAACATCAATCAATTTCTTTCTTTGTTTATCCTTCTGTCATCTCCTTCTTTATAAATGTGTATAAGGTGCAGAAAAGGAGAATTTGTTTAACAATCAAGAGCTTCTTCAGTTGGTTGGGTCAATTAGAATTAAAAACTAACCATGCAAAATGAAAGGCAACAGCAACTTATTCAATAGCATTTCAATTTTCATGAAAGTAAGGGTCCCTCCATTAATGTGATGGAGGATATTAATTGTTCCAGCGAGAACTTAATCAGAGCAAAAATAAGTTGAAAAATCTCCTCCCCAGAGGCAGTTTCAAGCAAAACATTTGCCCCCTCAGTATTTCTCACAGTCAGCAGAGCTGTATTGGGTGCAAACAGAGTCACTGGTTTCTTCCGAGTATTTTGGCATTTTGTCAAGTCCAGCTCCTACAAAAATGATGAAACCAAGGCATAAGTTCAGCTGATGCAATAACCCAAACAAAATAATGAGATAACCAGAGCAATAATAAAGTATACTGACTAATCAGTATTATATGATAATCTGGTGGGAGATAAAAAAAAAATAGTAGAAGGAATAGTGGAATGGTGATAGAGATTAAGAGCAATTTAGATATCTTTGCCAAAATGTGGGTTGATTAATAATGAATCACTAACTTTGTCACAGGTAACAGGCACAAATAAATTTTCTTACAATATTTAGAAGTTAAATTGTAACAGTTAGAGTCTACATCTTAAATGAGATGAATCCTTAAAATAATCATTTTCTAGGGAAAACATTCACATGAATGGTAATAACAGAGATAATACTAGTTAGAGCAAACAAAAGCAATAACAGATACCTTCTACACTCAATTGAAATTTTGTTTATTGTATTTCCCCAAAAAGGTGCCAACACTCTAATAAGGGCCCTCCCCCTTGGCCATTTTATGTCAAACACACCCCCCCCCCCACCCTCACTTTCATAAATAGTAGGGATTCAAGGAAAACCTGTTTCTACTGCCAGTTTATTTATAATTTTTTATGTTTCAATTACAGCAAACTCTTTACAGAAGAATAGTTTCTTTCCTTTAAGTCAGCTCCAGATATATACTTTTTTATCCCTGTGTTGGCTTTGTTTATAATGTCATAGTTTTAGTCTCTCTATAAAAATTTAGCCCAAATAAGGTTAGAGTTTGTTGAAAGGGCACCCCATTGACTAAGCACCCTCTTTCCAATAAGAGCCCCTCCATTTAGCTGCAATTTTAAATAACTGCCTCAGTTTTTATTTGAAGAAATATGGTATGTTCATTGCTAAATATAACAGCCTCATACCTGTGATCAAGTTGTGAAGGTTACAGTAGTTTGTACCATAGTCCAACACAGCATACCATGTTTCAGAGGTTGAATAGCCCTGAAAGAAGGTTTAAAATAGTTGTACAGTGCAAAGCAATAGTCTTAGGTATCCCAATTTTCATTTCATATATCTGGAGTCTGCATATAGTAAATA